TTATTTCTCATACTGGGAAGCAGGTTTTTTTCCAGAGTTTTGTTCTGTTATTTTGTAGCTGGAGCTACACCGAAGGCTGTAATTTCTAATTACAAATGGCTTTTATTTAACAATCTTGTAACATGTATGTCACTGAGAAATTAAATCTGATTCTAGCTAATGAAAAGGTCAGCTCAGAAATGTACCAGAATTAAGCTGTGGGAATCCAGTACATTCATGAATATTTGTGCTGTTCAGGGCCTATACAGGGACCAAATCTTGCATATTTTAAGAGGGAACCAAATAGCTGAGATTGATGCCATATTTAGTAGTGCAATTTAATTTCTCTTGGAAGCAGTAGACCAGTAATCTGGGAATTTTGGCTGTCATCCTGCTACTATTTATGAGCAATTTTAATGTTGTAATTACATGTAGGGAAAATTGTTCACTAGGTTGATGAGATAAATGGAAATTTAATTTTTTTTCTTGTTTAGTTGTCCAATATTTTTATTACACGTTTCTGGAAGCAATGGTATACCATAAAAGAATCTGGAACTGCATCGCTCCTTAGAAATACTGATATTTTGAAAGATTTGCTCACTGTAAGTTAAAGGCAGCTCATTAAACAAACAAATGAGCTGTCCTTAGAGCAATCAGTATTTACTATTAACTGAACAGCACAGTAAATAATGAATTTCAGGTAAGGAACTACAGAAAAGTATTTGCAATGAATTCAAATTACTTGACTTAAGCCTGAGGCACAGAAAAGTGAACATAAAGATAGAAATGGAGGGAGAAGGGAGAAAAGAAGAAGGAAGAGGAGGGATGGTGAGTGTAACATTTGGTGTAGCATACATGTTTATTCATTGTGCCGAGGAAGTGTTTACTTCAGGAATCTTTTGCCTCCCTCCCTGTGCAAGGGATGATGCAGCCGGCTCCTCGTGAGAACAAAGGTGGATGTGGAATTCCTGGGAAAAAACGGGGGTCCACAGCAAGCTCTGGGCCTGATCCAGCACACTGGCTTGGAGAGCAGGGCTGATGTTTTTACCAAGGTCAAGATTTTGCAGGTTTCTCTCTGGCACTTCCTAGACCCCAGGAGAGTGTTGTGTTTGGCACCAGTGAGACCGAAACCTGCCCGTAGCTGCCAAGTGCTTGTGGAGCTACCTCATTTGTTTTCCCAAATTACTTAAGCAACTAAGTTGTTCATTTGCTAGGAACTGGCACAAGATGAGAAATTTTGGTTTGGAGTTTAATCATCATAGGAGTAAGAGATCATGCTGCCTGAAGTTTGGGCGCAGGCCTGCATTCAGTGCCGGGATGGATGGGGTGTCTGGAGGACGTCTGATACTGCTCATTTGGGTTGGTGGTTTGGGTGCTGGAGATGAGAGGGAAGGTTGGTTTAATCAGGGACTCCACAGTTTCAGCTGAGCTGTGGGCCTGAGGCTTGATGGGACACCCAGACATGTGGCAGCTGTACTAACCACCTAACGCTTGGCAGCCCTGTCTATACATTACCTTAAATAAGGTTAATTGCTTGGCAGAGGTCTCTTTGTGGGGAGGATGTATGTCTCGCCTGTCTGGCTGCTGAGGACCATTGCTGTCCAGAACAGGGCATGGAAGAGCGACCGGCCGAGTGGGCACATCGGGGGAGATGTGCATTAAGTGTTAGTCTTCTGTAATAACTGCTGTCACAGCCAGGATAACACCTCTGCTACTCCTTTAGGGGTAATATGTATAGAATACAAACAGGAGGCTTATCTCGCTGGGTAGTTATCACTAAGTAAATACCTCCACAAAGAAACTGTGTCTTAATTCACGTCACCCTGGGACTGCACCTCGTGGATGCTGCCACAGAATAAAATGGCAGAGGTTAAGTGCAGCTGCAGGGACATTTCCAAGTCGCCTTTGGAAGTGTCCGATTGCTGTGCACAAGTCCAGCACCGTCGGTCCCCGAGTGCTCGCTGCTTCCGAATGCTGGTGCTGTCGGCCCCTGCATTAGTATTCAACACAGGGAAAAAGAGCGAGGTGCTAGACAGACCGACTAATTACAGCAGCCTGCAGAGGCAAGTCGTGCTGTACCACATGATAAAGTATATCCTTTTTGTTTAGTAGATTTCTTTGCTCTTTGTCACTTTATTAATAATAAAAAAAAAAGTGTAATGGGTTTGGTTAAGGAATCAAGCTCTTTCCCTGTTTTTTCTTGAATTTAATCTGAGTCTATACAATGCTTTGTAACATTCATACAAAAAGAAACTTCCTACACCTCAGTCTGAAAACTTTGCAAGCTGCACACCTGTAATCTTAGCTCCCCTTCCTCCGGCTGGCAGCCTGACAGGGGCTGCTCTGGTCCCCAGAGCCGGCAGCAGATGCAGGGAGAAGAGGGCTTCTCTAACACTAATGTACCATCTGCAAGCAGCAACACTGGTCAGGATTTTATGAGCCTGAATTGCAATTGTGTGGCTAGAGGGTTTGCAGTCAGAGCGTCTGTTTTACCGTCAATGATGTGGATGGATCTGGAACTGAGCGTCAGCCAGGACCAGGTATGGCAGGGTAGGGGAGCCCAGTCCTGCAGTGACAGAAGTTGTGCAGCCATCAGGTAGCAGCTGGCCAGGGCTGCTGTGCAGCTCTGGGTCGTGTGTACCCCCCCCCCCCCAGCTGTGATACAGCCCAGGTTTCATTGGGCTGAGGTTTGGAAAGGTCTGTTGCTCACAAGTCAGAGGTAGGAGAAATCAAACTGAGGGAAATACCGACTGCCACAAAACAGATCTTACTGATGTTTGCTGGTTCTGCCTGATTTGCACCTAGACACAACCTGGGGGTGGCAGCTCAGCCAGCGGGTCCCTGTCCCCTCCCTTCTGCGCCGTCCCCCCCTGCAGAGCCGGGCACTAAGCAGATTAGTCAGCTTCTTCCATCAGCCAACGGTGCCTAAGATACTTATAAGACATCTGGGTTTTAGCCTAATTTCTAAACAAATGTGAGTCTAGTGTCTGTTTTTTGTCCCCTCATTGGCCAATTTCAATCTTCGCCCAGGGGTTTTGGTCTCAAAGACATTAACTTCCAGAAAGTTTTCATGAGCTGGTACCTGTGTGAACAGAAACTATCCCGCTAATGCCTCTGGAGAACAGGCCACAGGACAACCTGTTGCTCATCTCCAAGAGGGAATGTGCTGGGTTAAAGGGAAATCTCCTTTTTTATGCCCGTGTTCTGTAGAGGTCCAGCAAACCAACCATCAGGAGCAAAGCGTCATGGACTGGAGCATGGCTCGGCGCTGGCTCTGCTCCAGCTGCAGCCAGCTGTGCTGGGCAAGGGCGAGCATCCCCATCGCACTGCCCGGGTCCCACCCCCTGCCTGCCCCCGTGTTGTGGTTTGGGCTTGATTGGCAACCAACCCCCGCAGCTGGTCACCCTCCCTTCCCCCTCCCCACCTGGGAATGGGGGAGGGGATTAGAGGGGTGAAGGGAGACTCGCAGGCTGAGATAAGAACAGTTTAATTATGGCAATAAAACGAGAACAATAACGATGATGGGGGGAAAACAAAAAGAAATATATAAACAGGCAATGTACAGCGTAATTGCTCCCCACCCGCTGACCAATGCCCAGCCCGTGCCCGGCCAGCGACCCCGAGATACCAAGATCCTGCAATCACAATCCCAGAAGCCAGAGAGCTCCTTCCCAACCACCCCTCCTCTATCTAGTGAGCATGACGTGCCATGATATGGAATATTTCACTGGCCAGTTTGGGTCAGGTGCTGTGGCCGTGCTCCCTCCCTGCTCCCTGTGCCCTGGCGCACGGGCAGGACAGGGGGAGTCGGAGAGTCCTTGAAGTCTCGGCAGCAGCTGAAAACACCAGTGTGCTATCAGCATTCTTCTCCTACCAAACCCAAAGCTAAATCCAAAACACAGCACTCATCCAGTCCCTGAAAAGGAATATTAACTCTATTTCAGCCCAAACCAAGACACCCCGCATGCCGACTGCTCTCGGTGATCCCAGGATTGCTTTGCTGATCCGTGGATTAACCGGGTGGTACGTGCAAAGATACAAGAGCGGTGTGCGAGCCAGGCTTAGTCTGGAAATACGTGGCCGTGGTCATACAGCTTGGCTTGTGAACTCAGTGTCTTGAATTGGAGCTCGCCAGGCTGGGCTGCCAGCGGGTTGGTCCTTACCTCTGTCTTAGTAGCCTTGTCTTGAAAATGGCTCTTGCAAAATTATCCTGACAACTGAGGTCTAAATTCTCTTGAGACTGATGTCCCGTAAGTGCTGTGTGTGAGAAGATGCACAGGTACAAAACATCTTACACTGGTTAATATTTTGCTGAGATACTCTGAATGATGCTGACAACTGAACTACTCCATACACCCACATCTGTAGAATTCTTTCTCCTTTACTCCTCTGTGAATTACACTTAAATGCTCATTAGAGCTGAATATGTCTCCTTTTGGCAGCCGCCTGACATTTTTGCCCTGTAATGCAGAACCTAAAGTTGTACAATGGATTGCATAAAACTTATGTATAGTAGTTCTGGGATTATGGAGGAAAAGCAAAGGTCTCATGTTCGGGTCCTTATTTTAATGAACTAAACTAAATTGTGTCCTTTTTTAAACATACACGAAAGGTAAAAGACATATGAGATTAATGAACAAGGTTATTAGTGTACCAAATTTCTCTCATTAGATTTGTTATATTACTTTCCAACTTACACAACTCTCATTAGAAACATTTATGAACTGGAATAGTTACAAGTATACCATATTTTAAACCATCCCTACTTCTAATTGCAAAACAAAAAATAGTTATACTTCTGTGCTATAATGAATTTGTACTTTTGTGCATGTATTTTTTTGTTAGAAATTCAATAGAGGACCTTCCCAAAGCCAGAGAGTGAGGAGAGGGGAGAGGAAATTGTACCGCTTACGGCAGTTTGCAATTTAGCTGCAAATCCTGAAGCATTGCTTTAATTTAGTAACCTTATTAGAGCCAAGTTAATATTGCAAGCTAATATGGCTGTTTCTTCTCCTTGCTAGACTTTCAATTTCACATCCTTACATCTGATTTGAAGTGACGGTGAGAGGAAGCATAAGGTATCTCTCATTCCATTCGGACTCCTCGTTTACAGAAGAGTGATGGAGAAGCTATTAAGCACAAAAGGGATCACCATATGCCTGTTTTTCTTTGTATTGAGTTTGGCAGCAGCTATTGAAATACCATTATCCGGTAAGTTGTAGCTACTTACTGAACATTTTGCTGTTTTGTTTTGGTATCCGTTTTTTTGTTGTTTTATTTTAACCTTCCCCCGAAGAAAAAAATATTAAATCCTGCTTTTCAGTTGTTCCATTTTGAATTTAATTCTGCCAGAACATGGCCTTTGGGAAACTCAGATCTGATAAAAACATAAGCTACTTTGTTTGGACCTGTTTAAATGTAGCAGTAAACTTGTCTAATAACATACATCTGGTATGTGTGATCTAACACACCACTTAGCTGTGAGGGCTTGGTTCTGTCCTTCACATAAATTCCTCATTTTGGCTCTGAATCTCCCTGAAGCTTGTTTGATGTACATATACCCTTACTTACTTGTCTTGCAACCTGCCGTTTCAGCCTGAAAAAGGAGCAGGTGTATGTCTCAGGGCGTACATTAGTCCCCAGAGAAGTGTTTCCTATGCCTCGCCTCGCACCCCGGGGAGCACCTCCTTTATCCCTCTCTGGCTGTGATGCATTCAAACTGCCTGTTTTACACGGCTGGTGTGGTTTCAGGACACGTGTAAAATACAGGATGAAGCTCATAGGGGACAATCCAATGAAAGCCCCTGGACCCCACTGCCTGGAAGACAGCCCAGACCTCCCAGGCTTTGCGTTTTTCAAGCAGAAATGGACCAGGAGGACTGCAGACTAGTTTGCCTTTTTTTTTTTTTTTTCTTTTTCTTTTTTTTTGGGGGTGGGGGGTTGGGGTGGGCAGGTGGGGGAGAAACAACAAAGCAAAACTCAACAATATTGGGTTTTATGAATTTTGGTGAGCAAAAATAAGTAAATAAGCCTTTAGGCTTTGGGTGCTATAGCCTGAGAGTAGGAGGTGGGCCAGTTTCAAGATGTCTTGTGGACCTGCCGTGAGCTGTTAGCACTCTGGAGCCTGCCAATAGCCCTGGCTGCAAAGGAGAAGGCAATCCAGCAGGTTTATAGGTTATTTTTCTAAAGCTATCCAAACTTGTTTAGTGACATTTGGAAGTAGAAGGTTTTTTTGGAGGAAGGTAGCGCAGTGACTCCTTATGTTTAAAAAAAGCAAAAATGGAGCTGTGACTGTAAAGCGCAGGACAAACTGTCTGGGCATCCACTGCTTTTAAGTACCTACACAGGGGAACCATCTAGCCCTTAATTTGCTTTAATGAAGCATTTTATATTTTAATAAAAAGGAATTATGTCTGATCAGTGAAGCTGGTGGGCTTGGAAGTGTTCAGCTTTGAGACCACATGGTATGGCAAGACACCACGTTTCACTCCAGCTTTGAGCTTCCCGGACTTAAAAGAGAAACCAAAGAGCGTGTTAATTTTCTTCCTGGCTGTTTATAACAATGTGATGATCCTATTATCCCCAGCTCCACTGCAGGGAGCGTTCTCCCTCGTGCGGCTCTGTTACACAGGCATTTGCAACACTTTAATTCCCTTAGAAAAAAAAAAAAAAAAAGTTGGTGAAACATCATTGCATGACTGTGTGACTGGTAATGGCTCTTCCCCTGCTGTACCCTGGAGGGGGTATTAAGTCATCTGCGCAGTCCGTGGATTTCCTGACAATTTCATCCAGGATGAAGATAGCAGTTTGCTTCTTCTTGCGTGTGTCTGTGTGTCTGGCTTAAAAAGCCAGTGATTGACTTCAACGCTGAATAAATCAACCAGTCCACACAACCATGCTTTGGCTTTTGTTTTAGCGTGGCCCCAGCTCTCCTCTGGCCTGGCTGGGCTCATCATAGGTGGAAGCGTGTGAGGGTGATGCCCGTGAGCGGCTGGCCGAACGCTGCCAGTGCCGTCCAGCCTTCCCCTGGCTGCCGAGGCCAGTGAGGGTGTTCAGTTTGGGGAGCAGAGAGTATTGTCAGTGCCAGGAAGATGACGATGATCATCCTTTTTTTTTTTTTTTTTTTTTAAGGCAAGGCTCGCTCTTTGCAGGAGTAAGGCAATCCTGACATGGTCCCTTTCCAAGAAAGGACCTGAGCGGAGCACAGTTTTGCTCGAATGCATTTAACCCAGTATCTCTTTGTGTTCAGTTGCGCAGCTTCCAACAATCACGGAGCAATCTCACACCCAGGTTGCCTACCCTTTTGATGAGGACTTTACAATTAAATGTGAAGCTAGAGGAAACCCGCAGCCCACGTGAGTACTGCTTTCACCTGGAGAAGCGAACAGAAATTGAGTTTGTTTTTAACCTTTGCCAAACATGGCCTGGTTTTGATGGGGGGAGGAATAGGTGGCGTATGGAAACCTGCTCATCATCGTGAGGTGAGGTTAAGGTTTGGGTTTCCATTTAGGCCATTCAGCTTTTGTTGCTCAGTCACTTCCACTCACTCTGTGAATAGATATCAGCATGCCTTTTTCTTGTTGGGAGATGTTTCATTTCTCTAGCATGTACGAAGTTCAACCCCTGATTTTAAAAAGCTTGTCTGGGCTGTGCTGCAAAAGATAGGAGGTGTGTAATCAAAAGGTCCCAGCTGTTCTTCTGCCTTTTCCACAGCAACCCTAAAAACACCAAACACATTAAACCATGTATTCAGAGATCACATTTGCATTTTATCAGATACCTTGTCTGTACTTATCATCATGGCTGTGGTGATGTTACAAATATCCACACAAGCAGTTATCCAAATAAATATCCAGATATAAGCTTTATATATTTTACACCACTCTAAGAATGAAGAAGACTTTTAATGAAAATGTAATGAACAAAAATGTAATAGTAACATATAGCAGCTCCTCCTGAGACTTTCATCACTGGATGGTGTACGGGCTAAATTAATAGCTGGTTAGCATGTCATTTTTACTCTTTAGTCCTTCCTTTCTTTTTTTCTCTGCAACACAGCTTAAACTTGCTTCAGAAAGGCAATTATTGTCTTAATATCAAGATTTAATCTTTTTATTTGGGCTCTGAATGGAGATTTGTATTGTGATAACAAATTTCCTTTGTTTCACTCTTTGTCAGAGGATTGATGAAAAATTTTCTGGTATATTTAAATGTATGCAATAGTGCTGGCGAGGCGATGGGAGCCTGTATTCATCTCCATACAGGTTGCAAAGCAGTTTTGCCAAAACCGGTGAAGTGCCAAAACGTATATTTCTGTTGATATTAATTTATTCTCTTAAAACATTGCAAAATATTGACAAAGTTATATGTTCCACTAAATGCATGTTACGCTGTAATTTCCAACTGTTTCTGATTTTGAATTGGTTTAGCCCAATTTCAAGCTGCCTGAGACTTCTAGATAAATAAACTATGACCAGTACTTCAGCAGTCATCAAAATCATACCCTAGTAGCATCAAAACTACAAGCGATTCTATGTCAAGACCAGGGGAAACTCAGTTGAGTCATCTCAGTTTCTCCTGAGTTCCACCATGAAATCTCCTGTAGATGGTGAGAAAATCTCATGCCCTGACAGATGGTCTCTCTCATTTTTTGTCCTTGCCTTAAGCTCTGTATTCTTATTTCATGTCAAAGTCAGTTATCCAAAAGTGAAGTGTCTGATAGGAGAGACATGCCCAACAGCTGACACAAGTTACAGTAGCACAGTGGTCATTTTACCATTCAACTCTCTCCTCTTACATCAAGTTTTTCCTTTTATTTTCATAGTACACTGTTGGACCCCTATTTTCTGCTTTTTGTACCCTAGTGCTCTCTGTTCTGTGACCTGTCCTTTGTAACACTTGTATTATTTCTCAGCTTTAACTGGACCAAGGATGGAAAACCGTTCGATTTATTATCTGACCCGAGGATAGTTGCATCTAACAACTCTGGAACATTTGTGATTCAAAACCGTGGAATCATCACCAGTTTTCAAGGGAAATATCGTTGCTTTGCATCCAATCTGCTGGGAACTGCCATGTCAGAAGAAATTGAGCTAATTGTTCCAAGTAAGGGCATTTACTTTGCTTTTGGTTTGTTCTTTTTTTGAAATGAAAACTGCATTTCCTCAAATTAAATGGGAAAGAACTAGTTACTAAGGTGGTGTATGGTAAAACATGCAGTGTTTGTTATTCAGTGAATACTGGAAGGAGAAACTCTGCTTCCGGGAATGGTTCTGTTTCATTTCTGGTTTTGAGAACAGAAATAAAACCTGAATGCAGGATTTCAGACAAAACTGCTGGACTAGCAACTCCTTCCAGGTTTCCAAGTGTTGATACTGACACTCCTTACCAACTTCAGTTATTACAAATGTGACTGGGTAGATTATATTTTCCCTGATATATTCATTTGGAAAGCATTTATTATTTACTTTTTCTTTCTCAATATCACCTGCTCTACTTTTCCTCTAAAGGGTTAGTGGGTAAACTAGTATAAACTTTTTAATAGCCATCTCAAGAGAGATGAATGCTCAATGACAGAAAATTATTTTTTGCTTTGACTTGACTATTCAAATGCCTTTATAAAACACTTGCTTTGTCTTTGCCATAAAACCCATAAGAATTCTTTTCTGATTTGTATTTGCTTAAAGCCGTGAATTGCTCTTGTGATGCTTCCTCTTCTAATACTTTTCCCTTTCTTTATGTAAAGCATAAATATTGATGAGGGCTGTAGTCTGCTAAATTCTCTACCTAATCTGGGCAGAGACAGTTTGTGAGCTGTTGCCAGCACATCGTGAAAATACAGAAATTAAAATATTTGGAGAGATAAAATACATAGCAGAAAAGACACAGAAGCTATCTTAACTGCAGTACTCTTAGTGAAAAGCATTAGCTGTTCATGAAAGATAGAAATAATGGCATAAATCATGGAATAGTGTTAGAAATATATTAAAAATTAAAAATGTAGTGGGCAATAAAGGAACAGGAAGTAATTGTTAGAGAAAACAAAATTATTTTCAGTCAGATCACTGCGGGAAAGTGTTGTAAAAGACATTATGTCAGTTTGGGGAAACTCCTGAGTTAAATTTGGAGTGATCTGTCTAATACTGGAGAAATTTATTTGATAAAGAATTAGGAATTATGTGATGCTTTTGCTTTCCAAACATTTATTGGAAAGCAAATGCTGTTAAGAGTTATAAGTGTAGTATTTCAGCTTGGCAACTGTGACTGGGTACACAGAAATTGGAAGGATGATACGGTCTCCATCTCAGAGCAAGAAACACGGAATCAGAAGCTGGGAGGAAGGATAGGAGAATTAGCAGTTTATTACATCAAAATAGCAATTGATGCAAATGTTTGAAAGCTCAAAGGGAAGTGATCCAATCAACTGTGAGTTCATTAGTCTGATGTTAGTAGCATTCAGGGTTTGGTATAAATACTTACGGGGGGAATATTAAAGACCTGGAACTGAATGAAAAATGAGCTCAAAAATAGAGTAGTGAAAATTACTGATCCTAGAAACTTGCCCTTCCATCATTAGCACAGAGGGAGGGCAGAGGAGGAAGTGGGTGATTTTAAGGATCAGGTTTGTAGGAGTGGGATGAAATTTACCGATCCAAAGTTCAAGGTCCTGATTAGGACAACATTGATCCATCCAGCTTTGTACCAATACATTTAAGCACTTGTAGTTTGGAAGTAACACAGGAAGATGAACACACAATTGGTCTTAATTTCAGGATCAAAATATATGAAATTGGAAGAGGGACATTTGAAGCAGGACGTTCCTAGTGGGAGTAGAAAGGACAAGAAACATCACTGGCTTCAGGATGGAGCAGGGTGAAAACGTGAAGCTGAGTGGCATAGATGAAGAAGAGAATCGGCAGTGCAGTGGAAATTTTTTTCAGACTAGATTCTGCATTTCCAAGTTCTGAAAATGTTTTGTTATCAAGCGATCTGAAAGCACTAGCACACGTGGAACTGGAGTGTCCACATGGTGGGGAATGTCTCCACAGTCTTCTCAACCTTTGCAGTGTCAGGAGATGGCTACCTATCTACAAAAAGTGCTTCTAGCAGGTCAATGCAGATGAAATGGGCTATGAGAAACATGCATAATCATTTTTGTCATGTCTTCTTCATAGGAAATAACCCTGAGAAACATGCTAGGTGTAGCTGGAGGTGGAAGCGTTGTGGCACTGTGGTCATGTTGACAATAAAGACCCATTGCAGGGGCTGGGAGATTTCCTGGGAGAAGGCTGCTAAGGATGCCATGTGTTGTTTTTATGAGTGCTCCTGATGAAAGACATGATTTATTTTTCTTCCAGCCAGTTGGGAAGTTTATTTCATGTTGCACTGTATTGCATAGTATTCCCTAATGAAGTAGCTTCGTGTTTGGTGAGGAATTACCGAGATTGCATGTGTTGCTATGTGGTTTAGTCTCTACCAACTTGCAGTTGCTTTAAGGGGATATCACTTTTGAGTGGGGGAGAACTGCACAAAGTTCTAGGACAGTAAGTTGAAGTTTACTGAACTGATGATACAAGTTGGCTCCAGAGATAGGACAGTGGAGCTGATGTCAACTGGATTTTCAGGCGAGAACAGGAGAGTGATGCAGTTACTCAGAGCTTTAGACAGGACATAATTATTCGCTTTTCAGTCTGGCCAGGGCAGTGGGGTTAATACGACTTCTCTTAAGCAGTGTCTCAGACTCATTAATTTTCAGAGGAGTTCAAGACCTCGATGTCATGTTTCAGTGAAGGTATGTCACCTCCAGTAGCAGAATATTCTGATACTTCATTGCTACTGAACTAAAAAAAATGCTTAAGCATGGAAAACAAGAATGAGTTGATGTCTTTATCTGGAATTATTGATCTGTACTCAGAGCAGATGCTTCTTGCTTTTAAAGAAAAGTTGTCTATACTAACTTGAGTAGATATTAAATATACTGGTGGTAGTTAGCAACAAATTAATTGAGAAATTGCAAACATGGTTGATATCAAATATAAGAGGAATTCTAGTGCTAATATGTGCAAAGACCTAAATCCAGAAAATAACTGAATGGTACAGATAATATATTAGAGGAATTTACCCAACTCCCACACCTTCTAAGGCACATTTACTTTTATTTATACTCTTCTGCCATCAATTATTTCATTTAGTGGTGCAATGTAGATGCTGCAAATTAAATCAGGACTCAGAGTTTAATAGAAGACACCCCTGATTTTTCTGAAGTGTTGGATAGGCTACAACTGTGCTCAAGGGAAAGAGAGCTGCGGGTGCACAGATCCGCTGTAAATTAGGCAATCACTGACACAGAAGAGTTTGGGATAAATTACCTCTATTCACCCACAAGTTTTGAAGCAGAGACTGGTACATGTGAGATCACTACATGCATTCATGATAATGATGCAGAGGTGGCAGTGCTTTGCCAGCTGTATTCAAGTAAAATGTAAGCTACTTGGCAAGTCGCTATGCCAATGAAGTGAAGAAAAACCCAGCAAGTCAGACTAGGCCAGTTTTTTTCATAAATTACATTTACGCTGCAGAAGGAGAATGCTGGGTCTGTAAGGTTGCTGCTGAAAAGGAGAACAAAAGACTGTTTACTCACAGTAGCCATTCCAGGAAAGCAATAGAAATGTCAGCAGAAATGATCATTAAATCTTACCTACATAATGAAAATACCACACCTCCTCTATACATGGTGACATTAAGGAGAGTGGGGAAGAATGGGGACTGAGGATCTCTATATGTTTGCATCATTTACAAAGTCCAGATTGTTACAAGATACATGCAGCATGAAAATGAATTTAAATGGTGAGAACACAGACTTCAGCTACCCTCCTCCTGTATTTAGGAATCTGTTACTTGAATTACTCAGTAGGCCCAATGCCAGAGGAAGGAGAAGAACTACAATTTAAACTTCTTTAATTAACTGTAGTGTAAAAGACTCTTCATGGTATACTGCATTAAGATTTATGCTCAGTATTTCTAAAGCCACTGCTCAAAAGACTGAAGATCTGAGTATGGAAACAGCCTAAACATAAAATTGTCCAGTGGCAGGCCGTGCTATGCCAATGATGTTAGTTCTAGAATTCCCAAAGAAAGCAAAACCTGTGTTAATATTAAAAAATACAGATGCGAATATTGTGAAATCATTAAAATATATTGAGCTGATACTAGAGTAGGAGGTATCAGTAACACACTTTGTGAAGGCATTCAGTAGTGTTTATGGAAGAGAAAATAAAAAAGAGTAGCTCACTGAGACCTTGCAGATGATGGGAATAAAATTTAAAGCTCTTGCCTCCTAAACCAGTGTTCTATACCTTTCACAAATTTTCTGGCCACCAAAATTGTTGGAATCACTCTGGTTGTTGCCAGTGATTATCGTTTTGGAAAAGGTGATAGAGATTTACACAGAAAAGACCACCGCTGGTTCTGTCACAAAAGCTTCTTTGAGTGTGAGTTTGTGACAGCTACAGTCTCCCTGACAGCTAGACTTCCTAACTTTTTCAATTTAATGTAGCAATTTAAAAAATCCATAAATAAGCAGGATCACATCTCATAAACAGTTCAAAGGCTGCAGCGAAAATTATGGATTTAACTATTGCTTTTATTACATGGATCAGAATATCAATTGATGCGCTGAGATGAGTACTGGAAGCTGCCCAGGCTGTGTTCAGTGCAACTGTTGTGATCGGTGCCTGTAAGTCATGTTTAAGATTCTTTGATGTGTTGGGCTGTTCAATACACAAGATATAAATCCGTCTAACTAATCAGTCAGCTACTAAAGCGTACGAGGAGATGGGAATATCCAGGATATAGAAATTAATTTACTATTTCCACTTTCCTCACTTTTACATCCTTTAAAAATTTATTTGCATGGAAGAACTTAAGAATATCTATGATGGGTCAGGCTAAACATCCATCTAGACCAGGACATATCTCCAGCAGCATCCACAGAGAATGTTATAAAAACAGATCTGGTGTATAATGATGTTTTCCTACAATAGTTTTCCCAAATATTTGCTAACTGCTGGTTTACCATAATGAGTTAAGTCCCATTTTACACCAGATACTGGTAGAAACCAGACACAGGGGTCCCAGGGACTTCTGCAGTTACATGGAGAAACCCTTTTCCTTCAGTTCAATTTCCCAATGCTTTACCCAGAAACGTGTAAAATATCAGATTGAATGGACTCATATAAAGTGGTATAAATTGCCATAGTCAATACAGTTATAGTTGTGTGAAGTAACTGTAGTCAGCAGGAGGACAAAAGCTAAGCTGTAGGACAAAGTGTGCTAATAGGTACCTGAGTAAATGTGAAGCAATCCTGCTGGGGACTGGAGTACCCCAACTCTGGTTGCTGTATTTCTGAATCTATACTGCTAAACTCAAATTTAGATTTTGTATTGCATTGTGTTGGTCTCCCTCCTGTTTGCTTTTTGTTGAGATACTGCATTTTCTGAACAGATAAGAAGTAAGAGGGAGTGACCCAGCCTCTTTTCTGAAATTATCTCAGCCAGTGGTATTTCAGTCTAATCTCAAATATAGTTCAGTCATTAAACTTTGAGACACCCCAGGGATTAAACAGAGCCTGGTTCCTTGTAAAAATGACTCTGGACACCAACAATTTTCCATTTCCATGGTTTACACACTGTCAGAGCACTGTAATCCTGTTTTTTGAATGCCATACAGCATTCATAGTACAGCCTTGTCAGGAAATAATACTTGGGCAGTGAAGCCTTTCCCAAGACTTTTTTGAGAGCTTTATATGTCACAGTGGGCTTTTACGAGATGTCTCCATAACAGAAGTCAGGTGTGCCATTTTTCATCTTCCCTATGGCTGTTTCATACACACCACTTCATTGCTTGTGTCATGAAAGCCATCCCGCTGGCACTTCAGCAAGCCTTTCTCAGAGTCATTAAATAATGTTTTTCTTCCCTGCGTTATGGATATGTGAGAGGTAGCACTTGGAGCTATGCTGGATCCTCTGTCCCCTCTCATTATATCTGTGTGTGGGGAATTAGATGAAAGATTGACATGACAGTTTTAATGGTATCACTGCAAAGAGATCAATTGGTTGTAAATTTTACACTGTCCATGTGCTGCATTGATAACTCCATACAGTATTAAACACTTTCATGACACAATTAATCTTGTATGATATTTTCAAGCTTAATTCAGCTGTGATAGTTTCTGTGATCAGCCACAAATCAGTAGTGATTGATTCTGGAATACCCACTAATTAAAACAGAGGAACACTGCAAAAAAAATAATAAATATTGCCTACATATACGTACTGAAGACTAATGTGCAAGAGCCAAAGTCTAATGTGATAGTAGCTTCTTAGTTTTAATAAATCTCCTCATGCAGAATTCAGAAGCAGTTATTTTTCTAGTCTTTGAGACCAATGGGATCCCAGCAAGAAAATATGCTTGTCAGAAGGCTTGGCTCGGGAATTTATCATGAAAGTTGAATTTTATTCACTTGAAAAACTTCAAGGGTTCAAAACACTCAGAGTTATGCATTGAGGGGAAAACCAAAGTTTTTCAGTGTTTTTCACAATGAACTGAGTGAAACAAGCATCATGGAAGGACCTAGAATCCCCGGCCACTTGTTGTTCCAGTACTTGTTTGAGGTGGAGAACATTTGGGTTCAAGTTTCTCCTTCCCCCAGTGAAATCCAAAGGCAGACATCTGGGCCAGGCATTGGAGATAAATGTCTGCGCTGCCAACTAATGACACCAAGACCGTGATTTTTCACTGTCTTCTGGTGGGACAGACTATATTTGTGTCCTAATTCTGTAATTATTGGCTACAGAAATTGACTGAGAAGACCAGTGGTTATGGCACCTAACTGGGACGTGGGAGACCCAGATTTAGTTGCGGCAAATGAAGCAAAAAATGGGTTTGAACAAGAGTTTCCAATGTCCTAGATAAATGATCTCACTAATAGTCTATTTAGTGGTCTCTTTGCTTTAGTCAGAAATCCCTTATCCTTCACCTGATCCAGCTTTCTTAAAGTTTTGTTGAGAGTGATGTGCCTTTGGGAATAAGTAAGCTTTAGATCAAGAAATTGTCTTTTTTCTACTGGAAAATGCTCCACCACTCCAGTAGTCATCAGATGTATTTTCCAGGACTTCAAGACTATAGGTTATTGAATGTACTGGATTTGAATACATAATTCCCTTTGTTATCTGAAATTTTACCTACAGAGTGGGTAATGCTCATTAGCTCCATTTTGCCTCTCATAAGAATTCAAAACATATTAATAATCCTCATGGAGATAAAAATCTGTGCACAATCTGCATTCAGGCAATCAGAGTTACAGTGATTGCTTCTTTTTATATTTACTAATCCTCCAATGTATAAAGTCTCCTTGGAGTTCTGCCTTGCATTTCTCACCCTTCTCCTTCGGTTTGACTCCTGCCATGTGACACTGCGGATACCCTGCGGAGCTGCTGGACCACCGATGTTTCAAATTGTTTATTCGCTATCAGAGTTCCCTGTCATGACTTGAACACCAGGATGGCAACATTTGCTGTGCCAGTTTGGCTGCCCAGCCAGGATGCTTTCATTCCTTTGCTGTATAATTGCTGTTAATTTTGCTGTTTAATGCAGTTGCCTGAACTGAAACTTCTGCTAGTTTGAACTTGCTCGAAATGAAAGCAGAAGACAACGTTTACCCTGAAACTGTCTTAGCTAAATTCGTTTAAGGAGTGGTTACATTTTGCAGGCTGCTTTCTTTACAATCACATCTGAGCTGCAGCCTCCCAGTGCTTGATTTGGTGGGGGCTCCAGCCCAGCTCTGCTTCCCCTCTTCTTGGATGCACTCCAGTTGTGTTTTGGGCTGCCGAGACTGGCCAGGTTGCCCAGGTTTGCCAGGCATGGTTCAGGTTTTGAACAGTCTGTTGGCATCAGTGCTCATGCTCTGGGTGATTAAACAAGTCCTTGGTCCATTATTTAACCTATATTTAAGCCCAAATAGCAGAGCCTTTGTGCACCCCTGTATATTATTTTGTGCAAAGCCTGTCCCTGCATCCTGACAGACAAGCTTGCTGAGAGAGTCTGCAGGTCTGCACAGCAGAGGTTTCACACCTGAGGGGATGAGGAGGCAATAGAATCTTTAAACCAGATTTCTGCTTCATCTGATTCTGGAGGTGGGTAAGAATTGGGACAACTCCAGGCAGAAGGTGGAATACTGCCTGCTGTCTGTCCTCACCTGCACTGACTTGCAGTGGCTTCTCGGCTTTTTAGCGAAGACTGCCCAGAACATACTGCACTCCCAGGCTGTTTTCTGATCTCCGGGGAGCATCCTGGGACCCGTCAGTGCACAGGTCTCTACGCCAATCTTAGCCTCGGGCTTTGAGGTGTCTCTTCCAGACAGTACAAACAAAGGAGCCGTAGAAAGCGTTTGAAAATAAATGCGTTAAAATAAAGCCTAAGGAAACTTCATGGACATCACAAACAAATGTTAAACACCCCCACTCAGTTGCCTGGCTTTCAATTCTACAGTCTGCGCACTTTATGAATGAAGAATGCTAGCAGAGATTTCTTACTCTTAGTAAAATGTATCGTTACTCTGTATCACATTGTAAATAATAGTAGTAACTAAAGGCAGAGAATGCAAAGGATGATATTAAGGTAAATATTAAGAGCTATGTTAAGGGAGAAGCAAAGGGCAAAATTTCAAAAAGTAACAATAAAAGAACTACTTCTTTGCTTTTGTACAGGTGTACCAAAATTCCCAAAAGAAAAAATTGAGCCCCTTGATGTGGAGCATGGTGATTCTGTGATTTTGCACTGCAACCCCCCAAAAGGCATCCCACCTTTGCACATCTATTGGATGAATATTGGTAAGTGAACAATTTGTACACAATTCATATGAGGACACTCAAAACATTTGTCTTCCAGAGCAGTTTCATTACAGATTCATAAATGATGGGAATGGTAATTGTGCAAGTGCTTAAGAGAAAGATCTGGAAACTGAAAAACAAAATTGAAAAATGGAGAATGGAGATTTGTTTTTACATAACACAAAGTTAAATTGTAGAGTGCATTGACACAACATATTATTAAATGTGAGGTATCAGAAAGTTTACGTATCAGTAAGTTAGTCTACCAGTAATGAACACTACTGCATTTACAGTAGAGAGGATAAAATGTGTCAATATGTTGTTTCTATCATTACTGTTTTCCTCTTTTCATAAACTAATGGTTGATCTATGATAGTAAGAAAAAAAATAAAATCTGTCAGGTATGTATAATTAGTTCCTTGTGGGTTTCTGTCATGTTATTCTTCAGCATTTGTGTTCTGCAGGTATTTCTGGCTCTTGGGAAGCAAAGTAATTTGAATTGTCTCCATGACACGAAGGGTTTGTTTCTAATGCTGACCAAGTACTTGCAGAGACAGGGTGCCAGATTAAACCTCTGATCTTATAAGGCAGCCTCTCTACTCCTGACATACATATTTAGCGCAGACCTGCATTTGTCTGGATTAGCAATGAGACAATACAGCAATCTTAGTTCATACTAACACTGCCCTGATGTAATCTGTAGTTACAGAAGAGCAAAGTGCTTGGGAGACTGGCTGTGGGGGACATCTGTAAATGGTGACCTCCATATCATTGTTACAGGCCTTTGTGTCAGGGAGAGGTGCTGGAAATTTCCTTTCATCTGAGCAGGAACTTTGTACTGAGTATTTTTTAGTTACAATTTTTAAGTTATAAATTATTTTAAAATATATTATTATAAATAAAGTATTTATTATCGATTATAATTTGTACGTTGAGTATTGATAAATAACTCAGCGGTCATGCTCTTTTGTGTCAAAGTTATATTCTGTATCTGGAAGCAAACATGACAGGAGAGCATTAATAGTCATATTGGTGAAACAGCTCAGTATCGTTACCATATCATAATTATTTTTTCTTGCTAGATTTGCAACATATTCCGCAAGATGAAAGGGTCTCCATGAGCCTTAAGGGAGATCTCTATTTTGCAAATGTGGAAGAAAATGACAGTCGAAGTGATTATTGCTGCTTTGCCGCATTTCCAAGATTGAGAACAATTGTACAGAAAATGCCAATGACGCTGAAGGTTTCCCGCTGTAAGTCTGTGGATAAGTACTTTTCTTGTTTTCTGTTGTTCTTTCTTTTTTAACTCCCCAGGCATTAGCGAATGCAGATGTGTGCCCTGTGTCTCTGATGTGATTCTCTCTGAAGAACGTGCATGTTACTGTGCTTATTCCTGCATTATTAACCTTTCTCTAGGGGCTAAATTCAACCTATAAAAGCTTGTTGCAGCTGTTGGGCCCCCAAAATGCCCTGTTCTTCCTCCTGTTCTCCCTGCCGTGAAAGCCAGCGATGCATTAGGGAAATCTGCTTCTCTTGCAGTCCAGCGGGTCACTGATGGATGGGACTTCACTGGGTCTTGAGGACTTCACGTGGCCGCCTCCTCCCTGGGTGCAGGCCTGATTTGGCCCAGGTGGGGCAAAGCAGTTGGGAAGGATGGGGCTTTCCAGGTCTTCGTAGGATTCCCTGAGCATCAGTAGTGACAGATGAGGCTTTTTCCATTTCCTTAGTGAAATGCTGTGTAGGGAACGTCAAGTTTCATTCATTTATTTAAATTAACATCTCTGGATTCCTGTAGTCTCCGAGGGTCTGATACAAAAGATGGTTCCAGGTGCTGCCCCTGAGTCTCACTGGGGGCAGGTGGGATTTGTTGTCCCATCATCACACGCGTGCATTTGTTGGGTGCATACCCACCTGCTGCCATGTCAAACTGCTAATTCAAGCTACGTAAAGCCACTGTATATACAGGGTGTAGAGCTGTCAGTGTGAGAAACAGAGGAAAAGAATACAAATATCCAAGCGAAAAAAAAAAAGCAGCCTTTTAGGGCACACTCTCAGCTGTGTTAAATCAGCAAAGCCCGACAGAAGCTGGTGGAACAAGGTAGTTTATACCAGCTGGAGATCCATCCCGCTTTGCCTGAATCTCTTTTGCCTGTAATAGTTTCTGGTATCACTTGTACTACTTGCTGAGGCTGCCTGTGCCCTTAACATCAGTCTTCTGTTTCACTAATACTTCTGACCTTTCAAGCTTATGCTGCCCAGAAAGCCAAGCAGATTTTTCTTCGTGAATGAAAGCTAGATATTTAATATATGATTTTGAGAGTTTTTCTTGTTGAGATAAAAAGATAAAGGATTAATAGTGGCTTTGTATATCTTAATACTTGCTTAAACCATATCTTGGGATAGTATTTGTGAGAAAAATATCGAAATGAAATGTTGCTCTCCATATTTTTTCTAATGGGTCTGCTCCCACGCACATGCACACACAGATTGTAGAAAACTGAGATGGGGTTTGGCTGTGGGGCTGCTGATAGCCCTGGCGGTGGCCCAGCAAAACACTTCAGCACGTGCACTTTGCCATCGAAGGCGCAAGACTTGATGCAGGCAAAAAAGTGAGCCATATACTTAAAGGGTTTTGTAAACTCAGCTTGAGACTGCCCGCTCCACTCTGTGCCAAGTCCTTGTTGCGGAACTGTATTAAAAAAAAATACATAGAAAAAGGTTAAGCAATAAGAAGAAAGAGATTGGATAAATTTTATAAAATTTCTTTACAGTAGATACTTAGTGCTTAGTGATATTTTTTTTATTTTACTGGGTAGCTAGGATGAAATGATGATTATATCATCCATGAAGTATTCTGCAGACTAATACACATCTCTGAAGAATTTTATTTGTATTTTCAGAAATTTCTTGTTCGTCTGTTGCTTTACTTTATATTTTCCTTTGTTTCTTTCTTTTATGGTAGAAGTGGGGGGGAGCATGTTTTTGTTGTGCTTGATTTATTGTTTCTTTTGATTCTATATCAACTATGCATGTTTGTGTTTGGTTGTCACTTTTATTTATTTCAGTTAAGCATGCTAATGACTCAGGCTCACCTAACGCTGCGGTTACTAAGGGTGAGTTGAATTCATCTGTTATTTAGCCTTTAAACTGAGAATCTACCAGCTGAAATGAAATGTGAGCTGCTGCTTAGGTAAAAGAAAAAAAAAAAATCACAAAACCCTTTTTATTGCGATGGGATGGATTTAAGTGGTCCGTGGAGTACAATTTGCTCATCTTCTACTTTTTGACAGAAATCTGATGGGTTTTTAACAAAGAGGTAGTTTTCTTACTTGAGAAAAGCATGTTCATGTGTGCTTTTCATGTCATAATGTGATGTAAGTAAGGAGTCTGGCATCCTGGCTTTCTCCTGTTATCAGTTCCAAGCAGGAGCCAGAGCTGGATGCTCCAAATCTTCCTCTGGCAGTTAAGAAGATGCTGGCACTAGGTACCCATGCTTTGAAACCATAAATTCATGTCTAAAGGGTCACCCGGGGGACTGCATTACCCCAGGATGAGCTTAAGGTGTGGATTTACAGAGCTTTAGGTGCTCTGTTTTAACCATCCCCATCTGCAGCTGTACCTCGCGGGAGATGGGAGCTGGTTCTCTCTGGCCGCCTCTTGCCCTGTCTCATACTCTCTGCTGCTAAGCACTACAATGAAGCACTTCTATCCTGGGGATTCACGTCTTCCCTTGCTTTGTGTTCCCCTCTGTGGAGCAATATCCTGAGAATATACTGCTGGGGTTTATGCAGGCAATGTGGGTAAGCCAGAAGGCAGCTAGCAGCTATTCCGGCAATTCTCCACCCAGTTAATTTTATTTAAAATATGTAAAAATGAGAATCTTGGGTTTGTATGTAGCTCCTAACTCTGACTTACTTGGTTAAATTGCCTTTGAGAGTCTGTTTTCTGAAGTACCCACTTCGAAACTCTCGAAAGACCTCTTTTTTTGCTGGGTGAGCACTAAAGTTGGTGAAAAGGGGATTCTCCTCGAGTGTTTTGGGATGGGTGACTCAAAGCACTGATCAATCCTCAAGACTTGGCCCACGGAGGCTAAGCCTTGTGAGTGAGCAAGCAGGGCTCATGCAGGGTGACAGACACTTAAAAACCGATTTTTCCCTCGGAGAGATTTCTGAACTCCTGTCACCAGTCAGCAAGGGGGACTGCCTGCCTTTGGCAGTGGGGGGAGAAGGGTAGATGGAAAACCTGCGAGCATATCCTCGGCACCAAAGTGTTTTGCTGCATCTCTGAGCACTTGTGACACGGATTTGTAGAGGTACAAAGCAAGGGGAGGAAAAAAAAATTAGAAAATGGTTCAGAGAGATACATGTGGTCTTTTACCAAATCATCCGTAACTGACTATTTTTGAAGAACTAGTACCATTTGGGGACTTATTCATTACTGTGCTAATTGTTATTATAGTGATAACTGGATAGCCATTTGACTCTATGCACATTTCATCATGAAACCATTGTTTGGCAGGCTGGAACAAATGGTCCGTTGAAATCAAATGCAGGTCAATCTTGTTTTATTATTTTAACGGTCTTCCTTACAAATTGTATCTCTATTACTGTAGATTTAATAATTGTAGCAAGAAGGACAATTCTGTGGAACATTCAAGTCAGGAAAGATGGGTTTTCATCTGAGATTCAAAAGATGATGGAGTCAGTGTGGAAGAAAGGTGCTGAGAAAGGTGGTGTGGACCAGAAGATGAGGAACTGAGAAGACCGAACCTGTCTAGGTGTATGAGAGACAGGGCCAGGGCTTGGAGAGCAGGACATGAAACTGTAGGAAAAGCCATCTTCTGACTGTTATCAGGTCCTAGATTAGTCTCAAACCATATAAATAAAAAAGAAAATTTACAAGTCAATGTTTGAAACCTTCTGACAGAAGTAATGTTTGCGGCATTATTGAAGGATAAGCAAAGGCTCTAAGATTTCATATCTAACTTTTATTTTATTTTATTTTTTTAGCAAATTTTATCAAGGAAAGAAAACCCAAACTGCTGATCCCTCCTGAATCTGCGGGCAGTAGCTCATCAGTCACTGTCATCAAGGGAGGTGTCCTGCTACTTGAATGTATTGCTGAAGGGCTGTGAGTAATGCACAATACTGCACAAACTTAATCACCTTTTGATATAGAATTGAGCAAAGAAAAAGCTATGTTAAGAATTTTACAACTATAAATGAATATACCTACCTGCCTATACAGTTTTGAACCTCTATGCAGAGTTTTTCTGAAGCATGCATACTCCTTGTAAAGCAGCACAGATCTGGCATGCAACATTCCTGTATTTGTTATTGCTATAGCTTTTAAATAAGTAATTAAAATCATATAATGGTAAACATTTTTTTTTTTTGGTGTTATATTGAAATAAACCCTATTGTTGAACTTTTTTCAGTGGTACTACTTTTGAGATGTTGAGACTGTAAATAACATCAGAATTCAGCTTCTGTGGTTTGTCACACAACCTGTAACATTTCTGCTTTTGCCAATTCAGTTTCGATTCAATGCCTAAAAATTATTCAGTATTTTTCCAGGTGTCAGGTCTCAGGTTTTTAAAAGGAAGGTTCTTGAGTGATGTAAGACAAGACATCCATTAAGGAAAAGCCCAGTGAAGTGGAACTGGTGGTCCATCTACCCCAGGTGTGGTGGGAGATGCTGGCTCGGGAGCACGTTTGAACCTGGCCACTTTCTGTGGTCTGTTCCCCAGCATCCAGAATTTCCACACAAAAGGTGTTACTTCCATGATGTTCTCACAGACAACAGCGTATTGAGGAACAAAGTTCACATCTATGTAAAAATGCAGTGAACCAGAGTCACCTGTATTGGTTTGATCCTGCTAAAAGTAAAAGCAATAGGCTAACTTCAAATTTAGTTCCAGTCCCATGTTTTCTGCTTGGGCCCCTTCCTATGCGTGCCTCTGGTGCTTGTGCTGCACAGATATCTCAAGCTTGTTACTGCTATCAGCGTTTATGTTAGAGCATTGCTCGAATGCTAGTTGTGGATCTGGCTGTACTGAGCATGGCAGAATATCTCGATGGGGAGATGTTTGCTGTAAAAATAAAGGCAAGGGTTAAAGTAGATGGTACATGATGGGAAATCAGGACAATTTTCTTCCTTATTGTAAATAACACAGGACAAAATAAGCATAAGTAAGGAAAAGGAATGGCTAAATAAGTGTTAAATGCATTCCTCACAATGAAGCTGACATACCTCTCTCGGACTTTATTCCTGCTGCAGTAGCTCAGACAGACATAAGCTCCACTTTGCCCTCAGTCCAGTTTCCCAGTTTTTACTGTGTGCTTGTAGATGCCTGTCCCAGAAGAGATGCTGCCTAAACATCTCTCCAAGCACTGAAGCCACAGTGAAAGCACAGTTGCTTCTGGTTTATTTGTGATAGAGCTTTTTGTTGAATGGAGACTTAAATCATCGTCTTCTCATGCTCTGTGGTAGAGCTGCAGGTCTGTGAACGCAGACTGTGGTTGGCAGGTAGATAATTCATATTAAAGGCTGTGCAATTATATCCCCTCTATAAAATTCCAAAATCGGGATATTAATCTGCCTGAACAAACACGTTTAGGGTATTTTGGTTTTCCATGTGGGCTTGAACGGGCATTGCTCATTTAAACTGGCAAGATTATGCCTCTGCAGTTGGTTGCCATTTCTGAAAGAAGGTGAATTACTTGTCTCTATTGGATTCACTCCAAGTATCCGCAGTGAGTTTTAGTTCCCTGTTGCAACACTTCCTTGTCTAATTCACTACCCATCAAGCTAATTCACAGGCCCACAAACCTCCACAAGTCCACAGCTATGAGTTCGTAGTATTTTCAAGGTATTTAATAGGCAAATCACCTTGGAAATACACAAATATGAATTTTCATATGTGAGAATTAATATCATGTACAAGAGGAGAAAGCCAGAAAAGGATTTCTGTTTATTTTGGAAAAAAAAAAATAAAATAAAAAAATGAAATGTTTGTTTCACTTGAAATTTTCCAGGAAACTTCTTAAAAATTATTTTCAAACAAAAAGGATTTTTTTAAAGTAGTTGCTTTTGAAAGAAGATAAAGTACTTCTTTGCTGATCACCAAACAAGTATTTTTTCATTGAAGCCCTTCAAAAATGCCACATTTAGACAAAATAAAATGATATTTTTATTAGCTAAAATTCCCATTTTCGGGAGAAAAATGATCAGCTTTGCCTATATCTCTGCCAATCCATCCCACCAAATGTCCACAAACCACGGAAGCGGATAGACTGAGCCAGATTTCAAGTAACTAAGATCAGGGGCAGCCAACTGCAAAATAAGGATTTTAAGTACATTTGCAATCTGTCATTTTTGAAGACTTATATTCTGAGTAATGACAGTGTCAGGAGGGCATCACCTCAATACAACACCAAGGCAACACAGAGCCTGACTTTGGTACAAGAGCAGGACAAGGGCTCTTACAGGAAATAATAGGATATTTGCACAGTTGTGCTCACTGCTCATGGAAAACCGTAATTTCTTGGTACCTGGGGCTTTGAGTAGCTTGTGCCTGGGCATTTTGCCACAATAACAGATGGACACAAGAGTAAGCAGATATGACACTGTGTATGTGCGTCGTGTACGGTGTTGGGGTCGCGAAGCCCAGCTGGGAATGTGCAGACAACAGTCTGTCCCGAATTTCTGTGTCATTGCCATTTGCTTTCTGAAAATGTAAGGAGCATTTCCAGCCATCTCCAATGGCTGGCCACCTTTCTAACCAGGCAGGGCACCGAGTGAAGTCACTGTAATGAAGTCTTTACCTCCTTGTCTGTCCTCAAGTGCCCTTTTGGAGTAGGATGAGATGAGCTCCGTTCCCTCTCCCGCGATCCATGCTGTGACACACGGATGAGGAATGCAGCCTCATGCCGTGGCCTGGTGTTGGCAGTGAAGAACCTATTCATAACGGCCCTTCAAATCTAGAAGCAGCATAGACTAGTTGTAGTCTATAATATAACCCTTAGTATGGCCCCCGTGTTTTAAAAGGGCTCCAAAGCCTCTGAAAGCTTTACCTTGCAAACCATATGCATGAAGTCCAACCCCTCTGCTAACGTGAAGCATTACAGAAGCCTAGTATTCAACTCAAAATATATATCTTTTTTTTTTTTTTTTCCTTTTAGCCCAACTCCTCATCTAAGCTGGGTCAAGGTTACTGGAAACTTGCCCAAGGACGAACCAGAAACAGAAAATTTTGGGAAGATATTGAAGATAGATCAAGTGACTACAGCCGATGAAGGAACATACCAGTGCACGGCAAGCAACCACATGGGGAGAGCGAAGCACGAGTTCCATGTTCACGTGGAAGGTGCTGAGTACACTTTACTAAGCTTATTGATTTTGAACAGAGAGGTGGTCAAAGGAAAGTGAATAAGGACCTTTGCTAATATCGCTCAGTGTAATGCATAAATTCAAACAACTCAGTCAATTTGTGCTAACCAAGTACCTACCTTACAGTTTGGGGAAGCTTGCAGAAAGTAGCACTTTTTTAAAAAAAAAAAAAAAAAAAAACAAAAAAAAACAAACTAATACATTTTTTTTCCTGAACCATGACGTCTCTACAAAGTGTTGAACAGGAACACAAATACATGAGCAGATCCAATACTCTAAAGAAGTGAGTTAGTCAAGCAAAGATATTGATGAAATGTCTTGTTTTAATCTGAATGTCAGACTAAAAGATGTAATTAATCTACTTGCTCTTAAAGAATGTGAAAATGTCTATACTGGGCCAGATCAGAAGTATCTTTAGCTCAATTTCCTTTCTTTGGCTTCCACTAAAAGTGAATGCTTACGGAGGACTGTAAAAATGCAGTGAGCAGACAAGGTACCACCCCTTTATTCCTCTCCTTCATGTGCTCCCTTGCTAACATTTTTGTTATAAGGACAACTTCAGCTAAGAGTGGTTTTTATAGCCCCTGAAAAGTATCATAAATACTTATGAAACAAAGTTAAAAAAATACTTTCTACTGAATTTTAACAGTTTAAAAAAATTGAAATATGACCCTTTTTGTCATCCCACTGAGTATCCGAGGCCTGTTCCCACCCCAGCCTGTGTGCTTGGAAGGGTGACCAGCACTATCTTAGCAGCATTCAGGAACGGACTTAGGGTTGGGCTTGTGCGTCGGGTGGTGCATCCCTGTGCGCGAGCGTGCACCCGGGCTCGGGGGCTGAACAGGGTGAGTGCTGGCTACCAAAACGGAGAACCTGGTATGTTTGTGCATCCGCTTGGTCGTCATTTATTGCTGCTAGAAGGCGGCGGATCAGTGAAGCCAGCCAAGATACCTTCACAACAGGTATCTTGCAGAGCCCAGGTAGAAGCACACAGCGCCTGCTCTCCCTCCATCCCCCGTTCTCCCTTCTCCTACTTCCCAAACCCTGAAGGTGTGAGACCTCTTCAGGGGGCCAGTGCAAATCCTCTTTTTCCAGGAGCAAAGCAGAGCTCCAACGAGATTTAGCAGAGACGAGAGAGCCCTGCAGAAGTATCACTGCCACTGCAACTCTTTCAGCAATGCTGCCCATAAAGAGCTACAAAATGAGAATCCTGAAGCACAGCTGAAAAACTTGCTGAAAACATTTTCTCTTTACTGATGAAAAATGTTCCAGCCTAGCCTCTGCAGAGTAAAAAAAAAAAAAAAAAAAAAAATTAAAATCACAGGCAGTATTAAACTGTTGGAGTCTGCCAACTGCTTCATTTTAATCTGTGCTGCTTCTCACTCCATGGTCACAAGAAGTCCTGATGGGAGGAAAGGCACTTTCAGCTACCTGCTCTGTATTTACTCATCAGCTGAGGAAAAGCCTTTTCTCCCAGTATGTGATGAATCATCCCCACTCACTTGACGCAACCTCGTGTCTTAGAGTCTTCTTTCCCTTCCTGGAAGTGTGGCAGAGGAGGATACCAGGGCATGGCAAGTTTTCAGCTGCAATGGAGGGGAAGTGCTGACTCCTAGAAATCATTCCAGATGGTTTGGAGCATCTCTGCTGTAGCTGAATATTTTAACAATCTGGCTACGATTTTCTCGGCTGTAAAAATGGAATCCTTCAAAGAAATTGCAGGAGATGCAAAAACTAGAATACCAGAGAAATAACTTTAATTAAGCAGTTCAGAGTATTGACCCCCTTCTCCCCTAGTCTCTAGAGGGAGGAAAGCTTTCCAGGAAATTGTTGTTACTGCTCATTAATAAATAGGTACATTTTTTTTAAAAAAAAAAAAAAAAAAAAAAAAAAAAAAGAGCGAAGGAAATAATCCCACTCTAGCTATTTTAATGTAAAAAATGCTTTTGCAATTGCTTTTAAATTAAATTTTCCGTATGTGTAACTAATGTTGGCTGCTGTCACTAGCTGGAATTCTTCCTATTAGGAGTCGCCTCACATGCAGGGCGTCAAGGTAAAAATTGAGCACAAACACTGTCCTGTTCTAGAATTTCTAACCAGAAAATGTCATGACCATTAATCAGAGATGGGCACGTTCATCATTCTTGCAGCATCTCCTGTGTGCACACTCAAGGGCAGATCCTGAGTTGGTGGAAGTGAGCATTAATTTCAGTTGGTTTCAGGGAGGTTATGCTGACGTAGGGCTTCCTCGCACCTGACAGGCTTTTCTCAAAGGATGCATGCAGGGAGAAGAAAATTAAACACGGAAGGAAAATTATCTATTATTAACCACCAACCATTCTCAATCTAGTGTTGGTGTGTAAATCAGGATTTTGCTATCATTTCTGCACTATGTCACATTTTCTGTTCTTCTTTCTGGTATTTGAGGATCTCAAACCAATACCCCAGCCTTCTAAGTAACAGTCTTAATTAATGATATTTGCATGCAGCCCACTTACTAATCCTACAGGAGTCTGAGGGCAAAGATTCAGGCAATTATTACTAAGCATATGAAAATATTCAGCTAGCAAATTGCTTGACTGTTTGAGCATTTTAATCTCTTTGCAGGGAAAGATGTAGCCTGGAACATGGGAGCAGGCACAAAACCTCCATTGTTATTAGAATGAGAGAGAAGTATTAAAAAAAAAAAAAAAAAAGCAAGCTCACAAATTGTCTTGACTTCAAATGTTTGTTTATTTGGTTATTATATAGAATCTGCTAAGACCAACTGAAAATGTACATATAACCTCAAGATCTTGTCACTGTCACAGTGCCTGATCTAGTGGTGCCTTGATCTTGACTAAGGCTTCTAGACTGTCTTTAACAGAAATAATTATTACAATATAATGATTAATTATAGTAATGATACAGTAGCTAAGGGCCTTTGCAGTCATGTCTTGTAATACTTTCATTACTCAGCTAGAGAAGAATAAAATGGATTAAATTAATGTGAGGCAGAATCATGGCTGGTTGTTTTAATTGAGCCCAAACTGTAGTTCTGCATTTCACTGGAAAACTGCTTGAACAGCGGTGTGGACCCCAAGGTGGTGACTGCATCTGAAGCTGCAGGCAATACCCCCGAAGTGGGATGGATTGTCAGCCCTTGGGAAGACATGAGGAGAATTTGAAGTGATCTTGACAAATCGGGAAAATGGTCTGGAATAAAAAGGATGGGCTTCAGTAAGCACAAGTGTGAAACAATTCTTACCAGGCAGTACTAATTGGCTTCATAAGCACAGGATGGAAAATATCTGGTTAGGCTAGTCTGAAGGATATACTGGATCACAAGCTGAACACCACTTGGAAATGTTAGTCTTGCAGAGAAAGCAAAAATCATCCTGGAAAGTATAGAGAAAAGTGTTGTAGGAGAGACTACTGAGAACTGATAAGGCCTCCTGTAACATAACCAGTTCTACATCATGCACTTCGTCAGGGCTGGGGCTAACACGAGACAGTTCAGGAGAAAGCACTAAGGGTAGTCACAGAGCTCCAAAACATGCATTTGAGAAAAAAAAATGATAGATACGTTTAATTTAGGAAAGAATGAAGCTGGGGAACACATAGCAGCCTTTAGATGCACCAAAGTTTCTTCACAATAGATAGTAAAAAATTTTTCTCCTCATTCCTTGGAGATAATGCAAGATACAATAGACTTAAATTGCAACAAGGCAGAAGTTGGTTAGACATTAAAATTTTGTGCTAGTTCTAGACAGCACGAGAGCCTGTGAAGGTTTGAATCCATCCAGGGTGTTTTAGGTGTAGATGATCTTGCTTTGTTTTGACTAGATGCCTATTTTAGATCCCTTCTGGTTTTGGACCTGTCATTATATTTCCATAAAGACATAAACCTCTTCATCAGGACCCCCACATTTATAACTTTTACTGAGAAGAATATATTATGCAGTGAAATATGTGGCATACCGTATTGTTCATGCAGATTAACTATTCAACTGTCCAGCCACTAGTTTTTGTAGTTTCTAAAAAATATATGTATATTTTGTTATTCTTAAATTTTGTATACTTATAAGTAGTATAGCATATCTGCCGCACAGAAAAGAAGTTCTTCAGCCTTTCTGTGAAATTACATTTCATACTTGACAAAATCTCATTGCCTATGGCTTCGCAGCTCCATCACTTTCTTAGGGCAACCATAGCAATTCATGTGCTGAGGAAAGAAAGCTGTGGTATAATATATCTGCAGCTTACTTCTAGAGTGTGTGCACAGATTAAAGTAGGGAGGGATCCATCAGGTGGTTTGTATTCAGTCTGTTCTCAGTGTGTCACCTCCAAAACAAGGAAACACCCTGCCACAAGTATTGTGTTTGTGGCAGACCTGGTGGGGGAAAAAGAAAATAATTCATCAGGGCTGTTACAGACCTTTACACCTCCATCCCTTTGACCTGTCTTTTCCTGATCAAAGCATAATATATATGAGCGAGAGAGAAGGAGAAACATCTGCAAAACCAAAATGTATTACTGCTTGCAGAGTTTTTTCCTGGAGCCAAATACAAGGAAGCATAACAAGTATGATCACGTCACAAGCTGCACTACGGGAGGGCAACCAGTACTGCGTGAGAAAGGTGGCAGAAGAAATCTGTGCTGTGTGAAGGAAATGTGAAGATATTATAATTTTAGATAAGCTTTGGTGTCTTGAATTTTACTTCCGTCTTTAGCTGTTGCTTAACAATGTGTCTTTAGGGGGGCTCTGCTGTGGAAATGGTGGACGTGTGTGTAGAAGTTCTTGTGTATCACACTTCAGGGGTAGATTTTTTAATATATCTGTGTTAATGTGAGCAATGACTCTTTGTTTTAGCGTATCACACTGATAACATCTGGAGACGTATTACCGGGCAACAGCTCTGTTAATCTTCAAAGCGCTTTATAAGCATTAACTAATGAATCCTCATGTTTCCTATACACTAGCTCATCTTTTTCAAATGGGGAAAGAGGCCCAGTGACCTGCCCAGCACATGCAGAAGAGGTAGTGTCAGGTCTGGAATTAAAACCTGGAAGTTTATTGCTTCTCATGGAGAGATAATGATGAAATCAGGGCTGTGTTTTGGATTGAGGCTGCCCACTGAAGGGTAGGCAGGCTCAGGGATCTGCATTCAGTCTGTAGAGAACAAAGCATTCATCAGATTAGTGCTTTTTTTTTTTTTTTTTTTTTTTCTTTTTTTTTTTCTCACCCTCAGTTCCCTTCCCTCCCTTATGATTATGTTTTTTCCAGTGAGGTTTGGGTACCTGATGCTCAGGGGCTGCTCTGCAGAGGAGAGAGTTCACCCAGAGCTATCCCAGTTTAGCTGGCAGTGCTGGGGAAGAGGAGAGCACAAGGAGAGCAGCAACACACTGCTGCTCCTCTGCCACCACCCTGTGGGCAACCTTTCTGGGCCGCTCCTCAGGATAACGGTTCTCTCATCCTCAGGGGTGAGAGAATGTCTTATCGTTCCTAAATACGTTACGGATCAGGCTCTCCTCTGAATACATGATGGAGAAACCAGGATATCCGAAGCCACAATGCCTGGAGGTGCTGCCTCTTGTCACGGAGCTCCGCACCTCTGCCCTCCGGCTGCTCCTGGGCGAGTCGGTGGAAGCCGTTTGCTCGTGCCTAGTCAGGGGTAGTTGAGCTGGATGGATATTTGCATCTTGTTTGAGTTGCTGAAATAGTCTCCCTTCATTTCACAGACCACAGTCTCGTGTCTGAGGGTCCTTGTGAAAATGCTGACCCATTCAGATTTACCTCCTTTCCCCAGCCTCTCACCTCCCATTTGCATTTGGTTTCCACCTGAATAAACACTGCCCGTTTCCTACACTCTCTCCCTGACACTCACATTTCACAAAGTCTGAAGGACAGAAATTGATGTGTGCTGACGCTAATTTTACCTTTTGTAACATCGGTTTGCAAGAAATACAATCCAGCTGCACAATAGGCTGCTAGGAGCTGGCTGGGAACTGTTGGCAGCGTTTGCCATCTCCTGGAGGACCGTAGCAATAGCAGAGTTCGACTTGTCTCGCTGTGGCACCTGATACCTTCTATGTCCCCTCTTTACAGAGCCTCCTCAGTGGATAAAGGAGCCCGAAGGTGGTGTTTACAGTGTAGGAACAAATCTTGTGCTGCTGTGTGAAGCTATTGGCAATCCAGAGCCAACCATTCAGTGGAAACTCAACGGGATGCCCATCGATAGTAAGTGCAAGGTCCAGCATCCTCATTTAGGTGGTGGCCAGGTGGGATGTGGCTGTGTTGTGCCCAGCCAGAGAGAACACACAAATCCCAATGTGCTGAATGATGTCTGGCTTGACATCTATTTTGACATGAATTAATCTTTATTTACTTAAAACTAATGTTTAAATGTGATCTTGAAGAGAGTAGGGGTGAAAGCTGCAGGGTCTGGGGTGGTGTTACCCGGGAGTTACTGCCTCTGTCTCACCCCATAACACTTCCATCTTTTGGGAATCTGGGATACATTGAGGGGCTCCTGGTCTTTCTCTGCGCTTAAGCACAAGTGACTGTGTGGCGGGGGAGCACAGACCTTGCTTCCTGGAGTAGCATTATTATTACTACCATTTCGAAAGGTTTGTGTGAGGATTTTACTGGAAATTGGTGCTCTAGAGCACTTTCTTTAGGCCACAGGACTGCTGACAAAGGCAGTGCTCTGCAGCTTGCTCTCCGGCTGTTGAGCAAGGCCCTGGTTTGATCCTGAAGATGTGCTTTGCCTTTGACTTCCAAGCAGCGAGGAAAGACCGTGAACTTCACAGTCATGGTGTTTTCCCCATCTCCTGATATAGTCTGGGTCTTTCCAGGTAGGACTTTCAGAGGGAGAATCTCTGCCAGGGAGATCAGCCTGACGAACCTTCAGCTTCAGGACAGTGCTGTGTACCAGTGCGAGGCCACCAACAAGCACGGCACCATCCTCGCTAGTGCCAACGTGAACGTCCTCAGTGAGTACCCTCCCGGCCTTCCCCGTCCACAAGAAAAGGTCTGACCAAAGTGTCCCATTCTGCTGACTGAATCTTCAGAACAGCTCGGGGGTTGTAACCGTGTCATCGTTCCTTTGCATTGGCCCCAGGCTTTAAGAAATACACTGTCCAAAGTAATGCAACAAGCCTTATCATGAGCAATATTATATGCTTAGCTTAAGTGCTCAGGAGCTTTGATATATTCTTTATTTTTAAAACATGACTGTGGCTGGGCTCAAAACCTTTTGAATTCAAATGTACTAAAATCACTGGGGGTTAAATTGTGACCACAACTCTGGTTTTGAATTATTAAGTGTATTGTTAACCTTTAATTTCAGCTGTGATGCTCAGCCTGTTCTTTGAAGAAAGAGAGTGAAGGGAATTTATTTAATAGAAGAGATCTCTAGAGGGAGCAGATCCGGGGCTATTTTGCCTCCTGGAGCACTTTGAGGTTTCATGTTCTTATATGTCCAGCAGTCAACCACTGTTATCTTTGTCAGTGAAGCTTCTGAGACCTCAGTTACTCAGTGCAACTGGTTCTAAAAGGCAGTGGAATTCCCATTAAGTGGCTACGCTTTATGACCTTTGCTGGAGAAGGGCATGATGCAGGGACAGTATTTATCTTCTCTTCTGAAATGCAGTGTTGCTCATTTTGCATTCTCTTTTGCAGATATTGCTCCCCTAATACTGACCTCAGATGGTGAAAACTATGCTACAGTTGTGGGTTACAGTGCCTTCCTTCACTGTGAAATTTTTGCCTCACCTGCAGCAGATATTAGATGGTAAAGCCCCTGAGAAGTGATGTTTTGATGTGAAACAAATTCATCCAGGCTCCTCAAACATTGAAAAATATGCTGGTTATTATTTTTATGGAGTTAAAATCAGGAATTTGTAACAAAACTGTATATAATACAGGTATTCTGTGTTTAAGTGTACTTTCAAAGACACTGAAGAACTGGTTTATAAAAAAAAGGTTAGAGCAAGTCCTCGATACTAGTGTGAGACAAGTGCTGGGGTATTAATTAAACCAAGCCATGCTGTATATAGCTAAATCTTGCTACAGCTTCATTGGACTTAGTTGAATGTTGGCAACTTTAAAAATTTGGACACGTTATTGAGGTGGAAACCTGATGACTTACAGACCATATTTACCTAGGAATGATTCCATATGGTTGGAAATCACAGGATTGTCATAGCACTTGACAGGTGCAATAAAATTGCAGATGACAACTATAGATTAAAGACTCAGCCAGACTCGTTTAAAGACCTTGCTAGATGCTGTCAGTGTATTTCTGGTTTGCAAGAAGCTTGTGTCCCTTTACAATTTGCTTGCACATGGGTAGTGACTTGCAAATCTTGATTTAGTTGCTCAGTGGCAGATCTTAGACCAGCTCCCAGAATTTCTGTGTCCCCTGCAATATCTGCTAACCGTGAAATAAGTTCCTGCAGCCCTAGAAATAACCCATAACTATTGTTGTCATCTTTAGGACTAAGGATGACAGCATAGAGCCACTTTCAACATTACGCTATGAGTTAAATAAGAATGGCACCCTAGAGATCAAAGAAACGAAGAAAGAAGACTCAGGATCATATGCTTGCTGGGCTGCAAACTCGGTTGGAAAGAGAGCAATCACTGCTAATCTGGATATAAGAGGTAATGTCTCATGTATGAATAGAAAGATCTTTGACATCTGCTAAGGTTTTGTATTTACAGATTTTCAGTAAGTAATTAGTAAATGTTCAGTTCAAGATACAAATTTATTATTTTATTGTGTATATATAACAGTATTGTCTCCGTTTTTCTGCATGATTTCTCCATGTCCATACGTGATGTCTGCTTTCTTTATGACACTTGCAGAAGCTGCACAACCAACCAAAAACTTGCAGTTTACTTCCCAGATCTGTTTAACTTAATTATCTTAAAAGGACAGATCTAAGGCAGAAATTGTTCCCTGTGCGGGGGGTGAGGCGCTGGCCCAGGGTGCCCAGAGCAGCTGTGGGTGCCCCCTCCCTGGAAGGGTTCAAGGCCAGGTTGGACAGGGCTGGGAGCCCCCTGGGCTGGGGGAAGGGGGCCCTGCCCGAGGCAGGGGGGTTGGAACTCAATGATCTTTAAGGTCTCTTCCCACCCAAACCATTCTAGGATTTTCCTGCCTTCTTGCCATCAGCCCTGTTACACTGAGAGCAGGTTCTTGGCTGACTCTTGGGAGCCCAGAGCCCTCCATGTGCTTGTGGGCTTGGTGGGCTCCTCGCTGAGCCAGACAAGGACCCTGCAGTCCCGTGGCCATGGGCAGGATTCCTCCTTCCCTCAAGCTACTTCCCGTCTGTTGATCAGAAGGTACATCCCAAACTGAATTAATGCCCACAGCGAACACCAAACACGTCACAGCAGGATGAGTTAGGGGATGCTGCTGGTTTGAGGGCTTTGCCTGATTATCAACTTGACAAATATTTGTAAATAAAGAAAAAAAAATACTGAAATGCACTTACTCATACATTTCAAATACATACCGTGTCCTCTAATTCTGTTTTAAGGGACTTATTTTGTTGTTTGGGCAGGAGGGTTTTTTCCCTGGCATGGGGGTGGGTAGCGGACAGCTTCCGCTGAGCACACAGGTTAAATTTAGTGGGTTGCAAACAAATTTACTTAACACTTAGGGCTTGCCAGTAGAAAGAATCTTTAATACTCAATTAGCAAAGTCCTCGAAAGGACTCTCAGATGCAGGTTTGCTATAACAAACTTGAGAAAGAAACACTCCTTTTGTGTTCTATTTCCACCCACTCCCTTTGCTTTGTAAATTTTACAGTGGTAATAAACATGAAAATGTACAATGAAATTCTCACAGAGCAACATTTCACTGAAAAAATAAATTCAGCCAAGTGCTTTCTTCTTACTTATTCATCTGTTTCTGCATTCAGATTAGAGACAATTAAAAGAACAAACTTGATTGCAATATATTTTTTTCACTTTAATAAGCTTGTAATTTTTCTTGGATCCTTGCCAAAGCCCATTTCAAATGGCAATTGGACATAAAAATCATATTCAAGTCTTTCTTTTATCATCCATTTCATGACAGTCTGCTAACAAGGATTTTCACCTGTGACTTTTTTTCTGTGTTTTTTTTTTTTTGTTTTTTTTTTCTTTCTGGAGCTCTTTGGTTTGGAGTGAACTTAAAAAGAATTTTTCAATATAGAATACTAAGACCTGGCAAATATCTATTTCAGATACAACCATCCTTCACTTGAAATGTTTGTATATATAACGAAAGAGACATGATCGTTGCTCCTAAGGTTGATTTTTATATATGAAGTGCTTGGTGAAAATTTGAAGTAATAGTCTCTCTCTCCTAATCAAAGTGCTTTTCTGTGATCAATCAGATGCTACAAAACTTGCTGTTACTCCAAAGAACCCCCGAGTGTTGAAATCACATTCAATTTTATTGAAATGTCAGTCTGAGTATGATTCACACTTGAAACACAGTTTTAAATTATCCTGGAGGAAAGATGGAGATCAGCTGCCAATCAACAGCACAGAAGGTGGCAGGTAAGCAGGGAAGAGACAAGAGTTTTCTTGATCTCAGCTGAATAATGCTTTATGGGGCTGGAACATGAGTTTCAATAAACATGAGACTTAATAGCTTGAAATGCAAATTTATGTCTGCAAGAATTCTTTATGCGATATGTGAATGGATCTCTGTTTTATATACATATAAATATAAGTGCATCTACATGAGTATTGAGCCGTAACTGGCAAATGATTTTGTTTTTTATTAACTCTCTCCCCATCGCAGCAGAATATTGCAAAAGCGTTGGTTCAACCCAAAACTACAGCCTGCACCCCAGTGCAGTCAACTGTTTTTTTGTTTTTTCTCTACTTCAGTGAAACTTGTGTTTCCCTGTGTTTTACACCTGTTTGACCAAAGCGAAGTCTAAATCTAAAAAAAAGTCTGCCTAAAATCATTCACATAAAAAGCAACGAGTTCTTCCTACATAGGAGTTTAGAACTTGCAAGTGCAGGCTGAATTTTGCCCTACTCTCATGTTTCCATTGACCTTAACGGGGGCAGAACTCGGCCTTTATTCCATATGAAGGGTCCCACAGTGGGCAATCAGATGTCTTTATTAATTACAACAGAAGAGAGATGTTTTCCTAAATACTGCAGTATTCCTAAATACTGGAGAGGTTGAAGATCCTGCTGAGGCCACGTAGTGCGGGGGGGTAGAGCCAAGCAAATGCCGTGTCTGCAACAGAGCCCATGTGCCTGGGTTAATGCCAACTTCCCCCGGTGTGTTGGACCTTACACAAGGGGATTGGGAATGCTCAGTTTTACTCAACCCTTTCAGAAATTCGGACATAAAGCCCATGTATTTGCCTCATTGATGATGTGCCAAAATCCTATGTCCCAGACGCCCAGCCGATGCATATCAATGTAGCTCTTTTCAGACCTAGAGAGATATGTCAGCTTCCAACCATGGAGGCTAAATTGCTACAAAATACAAATAATAATCTACAGCACAGTGTATAATACAGCTACAGTTATGTTTTAAAGTAAAAGACCTGATATGCAATTATGTTATTCAAAATACCCTGTTACCAATTTTTTTATGAACAGTTTTCTGGAGAACAATGGTGTCTGTCTGTCATATGCTTATCTTACAGACTTATGTCTTCCTTATTTGTATGTATTTTTTTTTTTTTGCTCCATAGGATAATTCTGGACAGGGATACACTGTTCATATCAAGTGTGACATTGGAGGATCAAGGAGTTTACACATGTGTGGCTAGAACTTCCCTGGACAGTGTCACAGCCGAATCACAGTTAATTGTTCTTGGTAAGAGGATCTTTTCCCAGTGTGCAAACAGCTCCATGGAGTACATAATGCTGTTGCAGCACTTCTGCTTATTTGCTTCTTTTGCCCAATTCAGTTACAGAGCCTCAATAACCAAATTTCACAGAGGTATGATGTACGTCTCACTTGTTAACCTCAGTTCTGCTATCCTTGGATCTCCTAGAATGGGGATGCTGGTGCAAACTTTTCATTTATATTTAATCTTTGTTATACCTAAGACAAGGCAGCCTTTTTTTCTCAGTTCAGGAGTCACCCACAGTGCCTATAGGAGCGTGCCAAGGCTGGCAGGTGTAATACCATACTAAGAATGGCTCCGTTTCTGCTTTGAAGTCCTTGGGCAGTCCTTCACCCCATTTTACTAGAGATGTGCATGTGAATTACTGCTTGGACTATTTTTTAAGGAAGATGTGAGGTCAGTGTTTAGATGTCCAACTCATCTGAAGATCAGTGGAAGTTAAGCACCTGAAAGGATTACTTCTCTCTGTGAATCTGAGCATTAATTATTGTCCAGTGGCAAAGAACAAGTCCACAGCAGAGAAAAGCCTTGACTCACAGAGTTTGAAAGTTGACCTTGTGTGAGCATCCTTACAACCTGCCTCCCTTCCTGAAGGACCACTTGAAATTAAGGGGTTGAACTTGTGGAGTGATGTGCACATGTACCAATCGACATCAGCCAATAGCAAAAATCCTGGTTTGTGAAGAGTTTTGCGTCATTTTAATTAATTCAATTTTGCTTCATTTTACATTTTTATTTATTTATGGCAGTGATTGCAACAAGAACTAAGACAATCTGACCTTCAAGATGTTTTCAGCATAAATGAATGGTATATTTCAGTAAATAGTAGATTAAGAAGATGCTATATGCACATTATTTATGGTACGGTGTTCTTTAGTGCTGTATAATTCAAAATGTTTGTAGACTATTTGTTACTGTACTTATGAAAATTTCATGAAGCACTTTATTCCCTTTTAAAAAGTTGATTTGCAGAAGAGGAAAAACATTTTGTGTTCTTTCCACCTTGTTTATTGTATATAAGAAAGGTCTTGGTGGATTAACAATATCTGTTATTTTCCAAATGAAAAATTCAGGCTGCTTTTGCAATGAGAGACTTGTGAGATGGTTAAAGAACCAAGTACGTCACAGGTGGAAACATCATAATATGGGCAACTAAGAGCAAAAGAAATATTCAGTTAGAATACTGTTAAGTATTTGTTCTATGATTGATTAATAAACAGATAGAAGAGTATCTTTAAGGTGCACTGTTGCCATCTTTAAATTAATATATTGATTTTAACAACAGATATGCTCCAAGAGTAGAACAGAAAAATGCCTGTAGATTAGACTGTGCTTTCCTGATTTTTCACAGCTACAACAGAAATAGGGGAAAGAAATGCAAACAAAACCAAAACAAAAAACCCAACCCTAATATAATCTTTTTAACTTTTTGATGTACTGTGAGATAAACAAGAAAACTCAATATTGTTATTAAATTCAGTACAAACACAGTTAATTTCTTTTACAATGACAGAGACAGTCTTGGTGGCTGGGTTAGCTGTTTTTCCTATAAGAAATGACATTGTCAGCCAAAAATGTAGTTGGGACATTGGGGCAGGAGGAGGTCAAAGACTCAAAGTTTGTGCAATCTCATTTCCTGAGTCTGTACATTTTTTAGATTTTGAAACAGCAGCCCTGTGTTTAAGGAGGGGAAGTGTGTGTGTGTGACTTTGGAAGGATGAGGGGCTACCATCAGCCCGCTGCAGTAAGAAATTACTCTTTTACATCAGACCCTATACGTTTCAGTTACCAAACTAATCCAATACAATCAGATTTCAAACCCTCAAAGCAAGCCCTAAGGAAGATCAACATCTGTCAGTCTGAAACCACTAAATTTGAAAGTTCATTCAATTACAGATAATTTGGCAAATGACCCATGCTGCAGATCACCTCTTCTGCCGCCGATGCTGTTGAGAAACGAGGCCGTGTTGTAGACGTGTGTGTCCCCTTGCCGTCTCTCGGGCCGGTGAGGGGGAGCAGCCTGTTTTGGTGGTGCTGGTAACCTCAGCCTGGGTTAAGGCCACATCCCTGAAAAACGAGCTCTGACAGCAACAGGGTAGTCCCGTGCTCGGGGCTTGTATAGCCCCGCACTTGTCCCCAGGAGGTGCAGTGCAGTTATCATACCAACCACCACCAGCTCTGACTCTCCTAGATTCTCTGGACAGCATTAGTTGAGCTGGAAGGTAATGAATTTTTCTGTTTCCTTTTAATATAGATCCCCATGGCTGGGATAATGAATGTTATCCTTTTACTCTTACTCTAAAAGGCCAAGTTCGATAACTGTCGGAGCTGAGTCACCTTCTACCACTCTGGTTTGCACAAGAGTAAATCCAAGTGAAGCTAATATAACTTTCTGCCAAGAGCAGTGTCAATATCTATTAATGATTAAATAGATCTTAGTGTTGATTTGAAAAGAAAAATCTGTTGCTGCAGGCACAGTAATGAGAGTAGGTAGAAATGAACTCAAGAAGGGATATTGCATTTATAAGGGAGGAAGCAGGACCAGAAGATTCAGCCGAGTTTTCTGTAATAAAAAAGATCCTTAAAAGCAATTCCCACTTTCCTCATTTTGTCTATTTTGAAATCAAAATATGTTTGCCACCACCTTCACTGAACTTGCTGTTCCAGTCCTTTGGAGAAACAGAAATAGCTTGCCATGCTCCTGAAACTTCTTCATTATTTCTCAGATGTTCCTGATCCTCCAGAAGACCTTCAGCTCTCTGAAAATCAAAACCGAAGTGTTCGACTCTCCTGGAAAGCTGGGGCCAGTCATAACAGCCCTGTTAATGGTATGAAGGATTTTAATAGCATCATCTTGCACTGTTTAGCATTCAGGCACGTCATGGCTGTTAGAAGAAACAAACCGTGCTCACAGCCACACTTAATTGGTTTTACTATGACAATTTGTTGTAAGTTCATTTCCATCCTTGCTATTTATAAGCCATTTATACTGGCTCTGCCTTTTTTCTTTTTTTTTGTTTCTTTTCCTCCCCAGAGTCGATTATAGAGTTTGAAGAGAACCGGTGGGAGCCGGGGAGGTGGCAGGAGCTAACCCGAGCCCCAGGGAATGACACCACAGCCCTTTTGTCACTGGCCCCATATATGAATTACCAGTTTCGTGTCATATCTGTGAACGCTGTGGGAAGGAGCCAGCCCAGTAAACCATCTCTGCGCTATGCAACGCCTCCGGCTGGTAAACACTGCCATCTAGTTTTCTGAATATTCATATTTTTAATGTTTTGCTGGGAAAAACGGTGCCCTCCTGTGCTTCAGAGGGCTGCAAAGAAGTCCGGGTCGCTGTGCTGCTTTCGCTGCTCAGTCGCAGCTCAGGGATGCTGAAGCTGCTGTGGTTGGCAGGGTGTTTTCTAGAGTCTAGCACACTTTCCTGAGCTCTGCTGGTTTCGCACCTTTAAAGCCCATTTCAGCCCTTTATGGACAAGCAGTTGCTGGAGATCAGGGCTTATGGGGGACCTTTCAGCAGCGCTGAGCTTGTCAAAAATCTCCATTCACAGTGCCTTTCTCACTGTGACACAAAACGTTGTGTCCTTGAAAGTCATTTTAGAGGCCAACTGTTACGCACAGCATTTGTATTCCTTGGCATTTTTCTTTATTTTTTTTCCCCTTTACTTCAATTTCAGGTCCTTCTTCAGATTTTCAGCTGTATGCATCCCACTAATGATATACCTTATGTTTACTCCCCCCATAGGGGGAAAAAATCTCTTCCTCATAATCCCCCTACATCTGGTGCTTTGAAATCCAAAAGTCAGTTTCTTGTTAGCTGGTGGCTCCAACCAACAAGGGCACTTAGGAACCAAAACTGCATAAACAATGTGTTTTAGTCACAGCAGCTTTGCTGATCCAAGTAATTAATCTCATGGACAAGTTTTGTTTAGATGTCTTTCTGTCTTAGTAATACGGAAACAAAAAAAGGTTTTTGCTTCCTTTTTTTTGCATTTAAATAACAAATGCAAATAAAACCCAGGATATGCAAACTAACCTTATCACCTGTGTGATTCCAGCTCCAGACAAGAACCCAGAAAATATCCGAGTTGAAGCTTCCGAACCAAATGAAATGGTGATGAAATGGGAGGTAAGGCAAACGTGTCCATCAATTCTACGTCGAAAACAGATTCTCCCTTCAAGCAACAGTTTCTAAAGCATCATGGAATTTATCAGGATGATGTTTTAATACAACTAAATTTAAAAAAGAAACAACAGATCCCTTGACTTTATCTTCCCTTCCTGTACTCCTATTTTTTAGGAAAAATTAGCAAATTCCATAGGTAGGATACTTGATGCTCCTGAAGTCAAAGGTAAAGTTATTATTGACTTAAATATGTTCTGAATGTCCTCCCCTAGTTTCATTTTTGTTTCAAAAGACAATATTTTACATCTAACTTCATAGTTTATTAAAAAATACAAAAGTCCTATAAAGCACAGTGAGAATTCCCCAGAATTATTCTTCTGTGCATCGTGCATACAATAAAGTGCTTCAGATAGTCGTGGTCTTACCTTGCTCTGCAGGAGGATCAGCCAGGCCCAGGGAGGGGATGATTTACACATAGCTTCTGCCCTTCCAGCCTGAAGGCTTAAAAATGACCCATATCCCTTGGCCAAGAGAACATGAGCTTGAATTTTTACATCAAGAATGAAAGGAGTGTAAATAAAGCTCCTAAGCAGGCATGTCAAAGGAATTGTGTAAAAGTCTTGGGGGTGGTTTCCAGTCTTCAATTTCCCTGGCTTTTAAGCTTACAGCTTCTGTGCTAACAGTTTAGAGAGATATATATTCCTTCATTCAACACAAATTTCAACAACTGTGGAAGGAAGCATATTTTTTTTTGTGGCTGGAATTAAACACAATTTACGTGAGATTTACTTCTCAATCTGCTGCTCACAGTGAAGAGCAATAAATGTTTCCCCAGTGTGAATTCATGGTTTAGGCTATAATTATGCCTAAAGGAGATGGCCCTCTAGATCTATTGACTTGGATTTGAATGGGGATTTTTGCTGTCCAACATAGCCCAGGGTCAGGGAAGACAATCCTGCCTCTCAGAAGAAATGCAGAATGGTAGTAGCCAGCATGGCTGGGAGATGCTGCTATGACCAACTCTTTGTTGAACAGAGAAGGATCTCCTCGCCAGGAAGCCTGTAATCCACTGCTCAGACAGAACAAAAGTAGAAGTGAAAATTGAGACTGAAGGGAGAGAATGGGATGGGCAGGCTTTGCTAAATCTTGTTGAATCATTTAAATGTCATAAACAGGATATTCATTTATTTATGGTGTTTCCTGTATGCTTTTCAGAGGAAATGCTAGGCAGTGAACTTGATATTTCTGGCAGACAAAGTCTGCAAAATGATGTTAATCTGCCTACTTTGGATTTAGAGACCAGATGAGTGTTAGTGACTAGCTTTTCAGCCAAAGATTTGCAGCATTAAGGGAGATCAAAATATGAGTCAAGCCGTGCTGCAATTTAACTCTAAATGAGAAGTTACTTTTTAGTAGGGATTTTTTTACTTCTTCAGCTTCTCCTGCAAATCCCATCCCCTGGGATCTTTGCCGTGGAGGCGATTCTTCCAGCACTGCCTGTTAGAAAGCTGCCCAGTCTACCAGATCCTTCACCACAGTCATCCCAAAGGTCCTTGTACCCTCAGAGCAGATAAGTGGGAATTTTTGCAGATCCCTCAGATCGAGGTCCCCCTGTGCATGAGGAGCATCAGTGGGGCATCGCTTTCTGCTGGCACTTGCAAGTTGATGCCATTTCATTTCAAACGTCTGTGTGCAGCTTGGATGTGTATCAGTTATTATATATTTAATAAGTACAATATATAATTTAAATATTATTAAAAGTAGGCTATGTAGTGGGAAATATCCACAGCTGTTTCAGCGGAATGAAATAACCCTCATAATTTTTAGTAGGGCAGATGACTAGTTGACTTTATTAATTAAAGAAGTACATTTTCAGAGAAATAAAATCAAGTGGAAGATGTCTCATTACAAGCCATTGCTATATGTCTTCTAATATTTTATAAATTAATGTTAATTAGATGGGAACCATACTTTGATGAATTCTTCTGCTGATTGGTAAAAAAGAGTAGCATAGCAGTTACATGTTAAATGTCCAGGCGTTGTTGCAAGTATTTGGTGTGTATGTAGAACAAATCTAAATTTTAATGAACCAACTTGCTGTGCTCCATAAAATTCCAAGAAGAAACACAGATTTTAGCTATACTCAAAGGCACACACAGCCTTGTGCCAAAATATGCATTTTAATTGTGCTAGAAGTCATGCGGTGTTACATCACACAAGAAAACAAAGAAAACCTGTGGCAAACCAAAACCTGATGTATGTAGTATGCAGAAATATGTCTACTAGCACTTAATCTGGTTTTAATCCAACTGCTTCTCTGCCTTTCACTCACCTTTCTCTTAAAGTCATGACATTTTTTCTTCCAGTCATCTCAAAATTAGCACAACAGCGACAAGTTAAAGCTTTCTTTTTTCCCCCTTTTCTCTCCCAGTGTTGTAGCACACTGTCCAAAATTATGGCCCCCCCACCCCCCCTCCCCTCAGCTGCTGTTTCATGATTACTGCAACAAAGGCAGACAAGATCTCTTTCAACTTCTTCTGCAGCCACTGAAACCCACGGAGAGGAGTGGGCCGGGGCTGGAGTACAAAGTGAGCTGGCGGCAGCGGGGAGTCGAAGTGGACTGGAACGAGGAGACGGTGAAGAAGCATTCTCTGACCCTACGAAACACCCCCACCTTCGTGCCTTATGAGATCAAGGTCCAAGCAGTAAATAATTTAGGATCCGGTCCTGAACCAAACGTTACCATTGGATATTCGGGAGAGGACGGTAAGTAGCGGAAACTTTCATGTGAAAAATACGCTGGGTGGGGGCTTGTTGTGATGCATAATGATGGGGTATGGAGTGATGGATTAGGCAGCACACGTCCAAAACTGGTTAAATGTCACTGATCAGCATGATGGGCTACATGAGATGCAGATATGACCGATGCTGGGTGCCGTGGGTGCCAGCTTGCTGGAGTTTGTGGGTTTTTTTGGAAAGGTCACTTTTGCCTTCATTAATCTCAGTTGCTGGCTTAATCAGGATACTTGTTTGGAGGCCACAGTCCATAAGAAGTCTATGAAGTGTAGCCATCACTGTACTCGGGGGGAAAAAAATCTTTAGCTTGTCTGGGGCCCGATTCAACAGTTAAGTAGTTAAGTACTTGTCAGAAGTTAAATACTCTGGCAATTAAGTATGAACACTCAGAGGTTGGGCATTGTAAGTGAATTTATGTCTGATGCCACATTCCCATTTATGTTGGGTGTTACCTTGTCCATCGAGTCCTTGACGAACGGGTCCTCTTCTCCAACTTGGGTTTCTATCCTGTGGCTTTTTGTGGCTCTCGGGTGGCACAGCCCCCTTGCAGGCCTCCCTGTGTTACTGGAGAAGTCTTTCCAGTGTAAGGCTTTGATTTCAATCTACTCCTGATCCAAGCCCCCTCCCTGCGTCTCCTCAGAACCTGCCCACCTCTGATTTTGGACTCTACCTGGCCCACAGTGCATCATCCAGGCCAGATCAAAGAGGCTTTTTCCTCTTGCCACCTGTTTTCACCAAAGAGATGCCCTGGGAGATCTGAAATCACAGCAACCACTTGTGATACCCACCCTTTGCACATGCTCTTCAAGGTCCTGCTTCATGATGCACTTTGATTTAGGAGAGATGTCCCCATTGGTGTCTGCTGCAAGACTAGAGAAGACATTTGGATGACTGTAAATGTATCCAGCTGCAGTAAAGAAATGCCAAGCCTCACTTTAGGAAGCAACCCAGTTAAGCACTAACACCACCAAAAAAAAAAAAAAAAAAAAAAAAAAAAAAAAAAGAGTATTTTTTTTTCTTTTTCTAGGAATTAAGGATTTAAACCAGCAAGGGAGTAAACAGCATGGTGCCAGCTAGTGTGAGGTGCCAAGCTTCCCTGATCCCAAACACAAATGCTTATTGCATTTGCAAACACTTAACAGCAGGGGCTGGGGGCTGTTGGTAAAGAGGGACCAGTAGGACCAGCAAATGGTCCATGTTTCAGATCTGCGGATTAATTTTATTAGTTAAAGTCAGACATTTTTCAACCCATGCAGAAGTCGTTAAGTTGTTTTTGTAAGAATGAAATAAACTGACAGTTTGAATGGCCTTTGAAAAGTCTACAATGGATTAGCCAACTAAGACAAGCAGGTGTTTTGCTGCTTATTAAAATGACCAGACAGCCACATCCTTAATTTAACCCAACACGTCCCGCAGCAGTCACTCCTACCTGTGCTGCTGCTCCCACCTCTCCACTTGCTGCAGCTTCTTGCAGAAGCCATTATGGAGTGTCATGACCTATGGTAGGTGATATGAAACAGTCAGTAAAGTTACTGTGATAACCACAGATGCAAAAAATGTTACTGGCTTTGCAAAGGGAAACAAATCCTAAGGGCGGGCTGGCTGGAGCACTCCTCTCATCGAGTGCGCGCACTGAGATCTGCGTTATCAACCCTGAATGGGCCAGTTTGATGTTTGCAACCTGCTGAGTGCTTCCTGGTGTGTCACCAGCCTTGGGCTTTGGTGCTGGGAATGTTCTTGGTGCTGTTCAAAGAGGAGAATCCCCTCCGCGCACCCCAAGGTGGGCAACAGGAAGGTTTGGTGGTGTGTCTTCTCTCCCTTGTAGAGTGTATGGCAGAAGAGGTGGTGAATAGTGAGAACAGAGAGAAAGAAACCCCACAGGACATTTATTTTCTTTGTGTGTCTGTGGTGGATCTAATTTTACATCTATCAGTGGAAAATCTTCCTTGCAATTCAGTTGTCAATGGATCAAGGCCCCTTTTTTTCAGGCGCTATAATAGCTCTCTGTGTTGTGTGGTGATTAAAATCCTACTGTTTAATGAGCTTAGTTGTAAAATGAAATTGATTATAAAAAAACCCTTTATGATTGCCTTCTTGAGTGCTGTGTTAATCATTTTTTTTATTCTTCTCACTGCTGTAAGCATTACTTGAAACAGGAAATCATAAATACTGCTGTAGAAATTCATATGTCCCAGTGCACCTGTATTCCAGCCCTCAGCAGAAAGCCCTGATATGGCAAAATGTTTATTGGCCCATTTCACCCACTGGATGCAGGTGGAATAGCTTTTTTCTTGCCTGCAGTAAGACTGCATGAGCTGCCACAGCTTGAGCTGGAAAACCAAGCCCTGTAGCTGTGAACAGTGTGAAACTGAGCTCTTATAAGTGTCTTTAATATGCAACACTTTTGTTTTCACAGTTCCAGATGCTGCTCCTTCCAGCGTATCAGTGGATATTGTGAACAGCACACTGGTCAAAGTCTTCTGGTTTGGAATACCGAGGGACAGAGTTCGTGGACATTTAAGAGGCTATAAGGTTACAAATTTATCTTTAAATATTTGTATATAGTTTAATAAACTAGTAAATAAATCCCAGATCAAGGATAAATTGCAATCTGTCATTTCTGGGAAGCTGAGAGAAATTGGTTTCATGTTCAGCGCCATACAACATGATTTGCTATAGAAATACCAATCTCAATGCAGGTCAGTTGGTGGAAAACAAAAAGCATGCTGGATGGAAAAAGGCATCACCCAGAGAAACACTTCCTAACGTTTGTAGGAGACAGAAACTATGGGATGATACCTGGTTTAGAGCCCTTCAGTGAATTCCGCTTAACTGTTTTGGCGTACAACGCCAGAGGAGATGGCCCAGAAAGCTCCCCCGTTGTGTTTGAAACTCCAGAAGGAGGTAAGACAAAATGAAAATATGGGATGGAGGGACATAAATAGAAATTGTCCATGCAACGAGGCAAGTTGATTTCCTTATTTAAACTGATTGTAAAATCTCCAATATTCATAAACCCCTCCACTAGAACGGGGAACTGTAGGAGTTGAGCTAAACTATATCCTCATTTAACAAGTATTTGCAGAGCCAGACCTGTTCAATCTTCTCTGAAAGCTAATCCCTGTATCTTCCAGTCCCCGAACAACCACGTTTTCTGAGGATCCTGAACTTTGACAAGGACTCCGTCACACTGTTGTGGGGACTTCCTAAGAAAGCAAACGGCCACCTTACTGGCTACATTTTGCAATACCAGATAAGTATGTGCTTGTTATACTTTGATTTTAGAATTTAAGCATTATTAGTTAAAGAAAAAAAATAAAAAAATAAATAAAAGTGAGTTTATATGTGTACGGTTTTTAAAACAGAGGCTAATGGAAGGGTGGTTTCTGAGATCTCTGCAACAGCCACCGCATCAGAACGGTGCTGTGGGCTGCGATGCATGCACAGCCTGCTAGAGGGCAGGCTAAAGTCATCTTCAGAGCAAAAAGTTTTCCGTGCACTTTTCTGATGTAAACTCACATTGCTGCCATGCCCTGTTCCACATTTATAGACGAATTCAGTTATTTCGTATTTGCACGTTATAACTAACGTAGTAGTTAAGAAGAGCCATAAATTGTAGGTGCATTTTACTAAAGTGTAACCCGTTCAATGCAAAATAATTTGTAATTAGCCACATTTATGCAGATCTTCACATGATGTCAGTGAGCACCTCCTCCCTGTAGAATGTCTCAGCAGAAATGCAGACAACTGCCACCTGAGCCACGTTATTGAGTAATCACATTGGGAAACAACTAAATACCAGGGGTATTTCTTTCTTGCCTATGAAAGGACTGAGTAGCTGGGAAGAGACTGAGCAGAAAACCTCAGCCGAGATCCAGTATTGGTCCCAGACTGCCACAACACCGTCTGTGAGGTGTGGTGACAGCTCAGGGTATTTTATATGTTCTCTGAAGATGGAATAGGATTAGACTGTGCCCTCTTTAAAAAAAGAAAAAAAAAAAAAAAGAAATGTGTACTTTTCAATTATCTCTGCTGATAACAGAACTACCCAGTTTTGCTTTTGCAAGTAGGGGCTAGGGGCTGGATCTTGGATCTTCCCTTTGTTTTTGATGACTATGGGCAGAGAGTGCCCACCTATTTAGTCAGTTTGGGAGTGGCAACCCCTCCTTCAGCTGCCAACTATGCCAAGACAGAGGAGAGAAAAGCAGAACAGCTATCCGTTAACTTGCTTGCAAAAGTTTGCAGATGTTTGGAAGCAAAGCAAGAAGTGATTCATATATATTTAATGATCTAGGAGACAGTAATTTTTACCTCCCACTCAGTATGTGCATATCTAGAACCAGAGAGCTTTCTAAGAACACTAATAGCTCACTGAGTAGTTGGGAGATTGACATGGACACGATAAATCCCATTAAAGTACTTGGCAGGAAGGTGAGATATACTTATTCAGGCTTCATCCTTCCTACTTACTGCAGAATGCCTCCCTTGCAGGAGCGTTCATGACAGGTTTCATGTTCATAGCCTGTAGCTGCTGGATGTGACTCAGCTGCCTTTTCCCTTTCAGTAAATGAAACGCACGAAATCGGACCTCTGAACGACGTCAGCGTGACCAACCGCTCCACGCTCAGCTGGAGGCTTTCGGGTCTCAGCTCCAGTACCAAGTACAAATTCTATGTAAAGGCTTGTACAGTCAAAGGCTGTGGGAAGCCGGTCACAGAAGAAGGACTAACGATGGCTCAAGGGAGTAAGTTAATAGGCAATATGTTTTTATGTGGAGAAGCTCTAACAATAATGGAAAAATCTATTGAGAATATTCCAGGCTTGACATTTCCTTTGTAATTAGAGGAAATAAATTTGTTTTTCTTTCCATGAGAACAATCAATGAACTTTTTAATGTAGCCATGCAGCTCTTCAGAAAAGTAGAGCTTATCTGTTTCATTTTACTGTACAGTACTGTGTTCCTATTCCCACCGATCAACTCGAGCAATACTAGAGTCAGTGGATTGCACTTAGTCACAAACAGAAAATTGAAGATCTAAATAATCTGTTCTCAGTAATATTATAAAAACAAATTCTGCCCTTGCATGAAGAGGGGGGACTGCCAGCAACATTAGGGGCAGGTATTTGATGTGGAAGATCCAGATGAACATAAAATTGTACTGTATCTGATCCATTATTTTGTTATTATTTTATCAGACACTGCAAGTGAGCATTTGTGTGCCACTTATACCCTATCCTAAAACACTGTTGTTCAGTGTTTTAAAGGAAAATTGCAAGCACAATATGATAGCTCATCTTTTACAGTCAGCTGAAATGAAATAAAATGTACTGTGCTCAGCAAGTCTGAAAACTCTACAATACTGAGGAACAAATCCTTGCTATTAATCAGAAAGCATTTCTGTGCACTTACCACAGGGAAGGAGAAGGAGAATGTGATAAGCAAAAGATTCCTGGCTTCAGAATTTTTAGCAATAACAGTCTGGAACAACATTGATATAAAATAGAAAAATGGTCCTTGTTGTACAACATCCTATCGGACTTCCAAGTTGCCGAATCTCTCCAGTTACCAGTCAAACGAGTAAAAAGTGCTTTAAACTCATCACACCCCAGTTCAGGACCCAGTCACGAGCAATCATCCATTTTCTCAAGTAGTGAAACTCCTTCTCAACTGTCTTGTAGCCTCCAGTCTCACTGTAGTGCACATGTACTCATGCAGTCATAACAATTAAACTATCAGCATGGTTTAAAATTTATTCTTTGTTAAGGAAAGTAAAAGATGCTTTTATTTTTATTTTTTTTTTTCAAGTTACAAATAGACAATTTCATCTCTAGTTACCTTTTCTGGCCTTCATCAGGCAGCCAGAATAATAAGTTTGGTGACTTGAAAGTCTATAAATTCTTCAGAAAACCTTGTCAGACTTTTTGAAATACAACCCTGCCTGATATGCTTAAAAGGATGATAATGTTGCCATTCGTTTTGTTCTTGTTCTCTTCTTTCCTAAGACTGTGTTTCAGCAGTACCAACAATTGATTCTTGTGAAATGCTTGTAGATTAGAGTCGTATAATTAATAAAATCTGCAAAGGTCCAGTTCTGCGATTAATGTATGCTCCTTGCTGCTTCTCAAGCCACCCTAAATTAGGACACTGCATCTGTCACTGAGATGCCATTAGAGTTTTGTGTCATTATTTGCTGGCTAAATTGTTTGGATATTTTTCAACTAAACATGATAGGCTGCAATAAAAATCACTCTTTTCAGTGACCTTCTTGAGGTTTTAAGCTGTGGTATTGGAAGCAAGGCAATTGCTCAAAATTAAAACGATCTCTGTTTTTGTAAAAAGGGAGTGATTTCAAAAATCAAAACTTATAATTTAAAATGACCCACATAAATAACAGATATAAAATGTGATGCCCTTTGAAATGAAAATCCAAGACAGAGCACTCCAAGTTTGTTTGGGTTTTGATTCAGTGATTCTATATCCAGTATGTTCTGGTTTTATTAATAAAAACATAAAGCTCTCATTGCTCATTTTAAGACTGTGAATAGCTTCTACTGCTGTAATACAGCCTGTGCAGGCTGTGCCATCATGGGTATTTCAGAATTTCACATTACATTCTGCCAGAAGAGTGGTGGAACCTATGGATTCATTCTCATTTTATCATTGATATACTTGATCTGCGTCACTGCAATTGCTTTCATTTATTTGCAGTTATCCCTGCTACTGTAGTCTGGAATCAGAAAGAAAAGTCAATCTCTTTTTTTAATATGTACATATGCGAGTATGCCAGTATCATTGCTCATGTACTCATGCAGTTGTAACAATTAAACTATCAGCATGGTTTAAAATTTATTATTTGTTAAGGAAAGTAAAAGATCCTTTTATTTTTATTTTTTTTTTCAAGCTACAAATATACAGTTTCATCTCTAGTTACCTTTTCTGGCCTTCATCGGGCAGCCAGAATAATAAGTTTGGTGACTTGAAAGTCTATAAATTCTTCAGAAAACCTTGTCAGACTTTTTGAAATACAACCCTGCCTGATATGCTTAAAAGGATGATAATATTGCCATTCGTTTTGTTGAAAAGAAAGTCTGTGTAGGGAAAATTGTTGTGCTTTAAATGATAATTTTGCCAGCCTGTAATTTATGTGCAACCCATCTCCTAATGATGAGTTTGAAGTGCACGAATGACTAAATTTAGTAAAAAAAGTTTCTCTCAATTAAATAAATATAACTCCCTGTAGAGATAAATGGGTAGATCATACCCTTTCTCTCTACAACTGCAGCATCTTCCTCTGTGAATGAACCTTTTTTTCTCAGGAGTAACACACTGGCTTTGGGTTAGCAACTCTTTACCAAAAGGTCAATGAGTGGATGCTGATAGGAAGAGGCCGTCTCACGCTCCTATCTCCGTTTCTTCATTCTCTGGTGGAGCAGTGCCACATTCTGCATCCCGTGTGTGTCTGGCAGCAGCCAAGGTAGAGCCGTCTGCTCTGCAGCACTGCCTCTGTCAGGCGGGGCTGTTCCGGTGTAATTACTTAACAGAAGAAAACCACACTTTAATATTTGTCTCTAAGTTTAAACACAGGCCCACTGAAATTAGTGAAAAATAGAAATAGGCGATATAAAAGCTTTCATTTATAGTATCCGTATTGCATGACCCAACACCACTGGTGTTGGCAGCTAATACAAAGACAATGAAATAAAAGGCCTCTTTCTTATGAAAGATCTTAAACATAGCCAAAATAACTCAGATATAAAATGCTGACATATCAACCAAAGGTCTTTATCAGTTGTTGATAAAATACTGTGGATAATCATGAAGAACCTGGGTAAAATGATATTTGCATTGTACTGCAAATCAAATAACAGTTTAATTTTTATGGATTTCTCTTGGTTTCATTCCACAGAAGAAGGTATGATGTCTTTAGAAAATGAGTTTTATCTCTAACTTCCCATTATCGGGCAGTATTTCTTAAATGACCTACAAACTAATTAGCTTTCCCCTTGAAAATGTTGATTTCCCAATGATCATTAGCTCTCAGAGCATAGCACAAAATAATGTTCTTACATAAGTGAAAAAAATTAATTTAATATAGCAGTTCTTCTTTAACACAAAGCTTCTTTTCATCCAGAGCTACCAGTGTTTCTAGAGGATTACTAAACACATATTACATGCTGAGAATGATTACTTTGTGTTCAGAAATTCAAGCCTTAATTAAAAATTCATCCAGAAGAAGCCGTACAACTGTAGTTTTATTTTCCAGAGAAGCCAGAGTATTGAAGTTTACCAGTTTCATTATATTTCAATGGCAATTGGCACGTAACTCCCACAGGCTTCTTGAAAATCTTAGCTGGCGGGTACTAACTTTGTGACACACCATAAGATGAGGACAGTAACCATTTGTTAAAAAATATATGGGTTTATTTCTCTTTTGCCACAGGCACAGTGAAAAAGTAAAAATACAGCTGCCTTAGCCATATGTAACTACTGATACTGTTACCAGTAAACCCCTAGAATATACCCTATTTGCTCACAATCAAGAGAATCTGATGAAATCTTGGTGAATAGTTTCTTTTTCTGTCATTTATGCCACTCCACTCTGCTGCCTCTTCTTTGCCCAGGGGACCTGTAGCCCATCAAACCCTTTTGCTAATGAGAGGCAACGAACCGTCCTGCCAGCCCAAGATGAAGAGTATGTGGGATATTGCTGCTTCAAACCCCTATCATTTTGAGCGAGAAAAATAGGCGTGTTAAATATAGTGTTCTAAATGTATCAGTCTTGGAGTATTTTAAGCAAATTTCTGATTAACTGTTTGACTTTGCTGCTTTTTTTTTTTTTTTGCTTTTTCTTCTTCTGTCAGCCCGCCCCAGTGTAGCCACAGAGAGAGCTAAAGAGAAGCAGAAGAGGTGAAACAAACTATAACCTGTCTTCTTGTCTGAGCTCAGCTGTCCCCTGCAAATGACAATCAGTACAAATAGATGATCACTAACTCACCTATAAATTCTTCTCAATAGACATTACATACAACAGGTTTACTAATCTCTATAGTTTAAAATATTTCAGATTTTAGCATGAATTACCTCCTGCACTAAAAAAGCCCAGATGATGACGGATACTTGTGATGCATATTTATACACATTTAATAGCCAGACAATAGGGGAAAACTAATGAAAGTTCAACTTTCCATTTATTGCAGCAGATGTATTTAGACAGATATGGTTAAAAATTAAGATTTTGCCCACAATTAGTATTTAGTTATTAGACTGCCAGCTTTTTTATATAAGTATGTTTTATAACAGATGTGCTAACTTTTGGAGAACTAGCACTCTTGTAAGTCTTTGGGGGCAGTTTATATTGTTTTTCCCTTTATACCATAAGCTTCTATAAAAAATGTGTGTTCTGTTGTTCTCATAAATCTTGAAGCCCGGTAGGAATATTGTAAAATTGCAGTTCAGTGTTTAATGTTCATGCGAGTCCCATGGTATGGCTGATAAATAGTGGGGGAAGATGAGAAGTGCTGGTGATATGCCTTTATTACTAATGCTTCTTCTCCCTTATTGTAGATTAAAAACCTAGCCCAACTGCTTTCAATTTTCTGAAGCTAATTTCTGCAGCTCACTGACCTTTCAGAAAGTTGAGCTCTTCCTTATCTGTATATCTTTTCTTTTATTTTTCAGGGTGCTACACTGCTTTTTTCATTCCAACCACCAAACTTGCCCCAATTAGCAATGCATTCTCCTCTGTAGGTACTCTAGGGAGTGCGTAACACAGACTAGAAAGAAATCACATGGAAAGAAACTTCATAATCACCCATCACTGGACACCTGTACCGAGTTTTAAAGAAAAAAAAATTTGTTTTGTGTTTTGGGCTAGGTGATGTTAATGGTAAATCCCCAGTCCCAGGTCAGGGCGGGCTCAAACCCTCATTCTGGGATGTGCATCCCAGCCCAGCACTGCTCAGCGTGCTCCAACTGAGCAGTACCCTGGCAGAAAAGGGTTATTTTTCAGCCATATCAGTGCCCCCTTTGTGCTTCAGTAAAGAGCTGACTGTTCAAAAACAAGAGGCTGGAAATAAATAGGTGATAGGTATGGACTGGTTAAGCTGGTTTAAGAAAATGCACAATGAACCACAGCGGTGGGCTGCCATTTTGCTCAGGGTTAAGCATTTTGCTTACCAGGAATTCAGGAGAAACGCTGCCTAAGGAGACTTGTGTTGTGTACAAATTAGACCATGTGCTTGTCATGTCATAAATAAGTGTTATACGGTATTTAATGCACAATGGGTTGAAGGTTCACATTCATTCTTGTTACTTTATGGATAGTGTTTCCATTAAATACATTTTTCCGATGTCTTGATTTTAGAACGTGTAATTAAAATATACCTGTGGTATCCTGTTGCTTAATTTTCAGTTTGATTAAAAATTATAGCTCAGTTTTACATACTTCATTTAGCAAAAATTACTGATAGATGGATTAATTTATGCTAATCAGCTGTGCTTCAGTATCAGCAGTATTTCAGCTGTATGTGTTCTCTCTGGGTCCCAATGGTCTACTAATTCAACTGCTTATTGTAATACATGTATAGTTGTCTTGGAAAACTTATCTGAACTGCTGCTTTGATTGTGCTTGGATTTGTCTTAATCTTTTTTTTTTTTTTTCCTTCAGCTGTCAACTAAGCCTTAATCTCTGAAAGCTTCTTGCTTTGCTTGTTTACTAGTTAAAGTATTAACGAGCATTGTTGTACTATCAGTGCTAATGGTCAAGTAGTTTTCAAATTATACTGGGTGCTCAATCCTTAGTTTAGACAACTTTGGATAAAGCAGGCAAATTAGGCAACTGAACACAATTAAGAGTTATATTTATTAAGTGCAGCCCCTCCCCAAATCTCTCTCCTGCCTTCAGGGGCAGGCACACTTGCGTGTTGGACCCACTGGTTGACTAAAGAGATCACCCATGTCAACACACAGTTCTGAATTTGCTTGTATGAACAGGCATTTCATGTTCAGGCAGCTAACTTCTTCAGATGTTCTTTTTTCTGTTATCCACAAATGCTGTTTTTTTAAAAAAAAAGCTTATTTTATACCCTGTAATCTTAATGCAGACAGAAATTACAGTAGGTGTTTTGCAAGTAGAAAGGCTCTAAAACTAGGGCTACTGGAGTTCCCCTTCTACCTCTTAATCAAATATTAAACTCATCAGGAACTTCTAAATGCCTAAATACCAATTTAAAAGCAAACTTGAGCTATATCTAAAACAGTGCGTTGTGCAGGCATTGTGGAATTTAAAAGGACATGGAAAATCACTGTCAGGAGAGAAATGAGTACAAATCCCAATGTTAATTTTTTCCTTGAGACATGTAAGAATCCATTTCCAGATAACAAGCTGTCTGTGCTTCCCTGCTGAGTTCAGTTCAATGGGAGAAGCATCAAACCCCAGATTATCTACACAAAGCAAGCCCATTTTCAAGTTGTAATTTTTTAAGCATGCATTAGTTAAAGCAGGTCCATAATCCCCCATCAATATTAACTCTCATCCTGGGAAATGTACAAACCCCTTCATAAACATCAGGATTACTTCAGTCTGCTGTTTATTTTATCTGATGGAATATTAAAACTCAAACAGGGGGAATGTTTTTTACTTTTGCTTTTGAGAATCAGATTATCTGATGACAAATGTTAAAAATCCTTGTGTGTCATTTATGTGTTATTTACATTTTTTGTAAGTGTGCATTTCACAGGCCTTTTGTTCAATGAATACCATTAATCAATATGACTTGAATATGTACATTCCGTAGGTAAAGGGATCGGCAAGATCTCAGAAGCAGTAAAACCCACCCAAAAGTTTCACCCCATTGAGGCACTTGAGCCTGGAACTGAATATACAGTTCGTCTAGTGACTAAGAATTGGGTTGATAACAATAGCATTTTTGAAGATGTAATTGAGACAAGGGGGAGAGGTGAGACATGAAACCCTTCAAGGTGATAAAGATTTATTTTGAATGTAAATAAATGTTGAAGTTACATCATATGTTGTGCAGTGAAAGTGTACCAATATCATAATTTTGTTCTGTGATTTTTAAGTTGACCCTTGCAGTTGAATCCCATGGGAGCATAAACTCCTCCGTGGTTCTCGGCTGAGTCCTGTGCTTTACTTGACGCACAGTAGCCTGGAACAATTACAAACCTTTACAAAACAGTTTTCCCTCCTATGCGATTTTGAAAGGGTAGTGCTGTGATTTAATCCATTTTAAGTGTGCCAGTCCAGTGGTTTGCATGTGTCGGGTGCACTTTTAACTCTATTTCTTTCGCAAAACTGCTTTTGCATGAGAGGCTTAACAGTCCTCTGTTCAGCTTTCCTATTTGGCATTAATCCTTTGAGTCAACTTCTCTCTCAGAATTACCTTTCCAAAATGTCTGTATTGTGCCTTGTAGGCTGAGCATTCCCCTTATGTCTAAAAATGTCACACTCTGGACCTATTTCTGCCTTGCATTTCTTTAAGTTGAACACAATAAGTAGTGATAGACTGATTCAATTAGGATCCAGTGAAGAACGTATTATGTATTCATGTTATAGTAGGGTGATGCCCTTTTCCTCTGATTAATTTTCTTCTTTTTCACTCCTCTTCTGTTTCACAAAGCCTATGCTGGCATTTACGATGGAATTTCCACCCAGGGGTGGTTTATTGGACTGATGTGTGCCATCGCTTTGCTCACCCTGCTGCTGCTAACTATTTGCTTTGTCAGAAGAAATAAAGGAGGAAAATATTCAGGTAAATGGATGTATTGTCCTTTCGCTATGTTCACATGTTAATAACAAGCATTCTTCAGACTTTTATCTCTGGAGGCTGCAAAGCCGCAAGCCGAAACATCCAATTAGGATTTGTAGCTTTTGATAAATATCCTCAGGATGGCTTCTAATGAATATAAGTGAAACTGTGCTCTCTGGGTGAGATAGTGCTGTGTGCTGGTCAGAGATCTTGCTAAGGCCTTTGGTAGTGCTTGTTGAATCTTCCAGTATTTAATCCAGCCGTAGAGTCAAGGTCCTTCACCAGCAGGGCTCCCTGCTCACTTTCCACCTCATAACTGCTACTGGATACACTAACTGGCATAGTTCCATATTCTTAACGATAGAATATTTTGTTAAAATTAATTATGTGATTTTCAAAGCAATGGGTAAGGATTTCAGTATAAATCTGGTTGCCCAGAGAGGTGGTAGATGCCCCCTCCCTGGAAGGGTTCAAGGCCAGGTTGGACGGGGCTGGGAGCCCCCTGGGCTGGGGGAAGGGGGCCCTGCCCGGGACAGGGGGGTTGGACCAGATGACCCTTAAAGGTCCCTTCCAACTCAAACCATCCTATGATTTTATGATTCTATAAACCCTTGCTAGCTTGCTTAAAAATTAGGGAACGGCCCCAAACCCTTGATGGAAGCATGCCAGTTCTGTCCAGCCAGACATGCGGTGTGAGCTGCTGCCCTCCAGGTTAGGCTGTAGGTGATGACAGGAGGTTTTCCCATTGCACCTGCGAAAAGAAAAGCCCATGGCAGAACATGGCATACAGATCTGTGCTTTATTTTATTTGTACAGTGAAAGAAAAAGAAGATTTGCATCCAGATCCCGAAGCTCAATCAATAAAAGATGAAATCTTTGGGGAATATAGGTAAATAGGACCTGCTTTAACAAGCATTTGTGTTTGTTGGGGTTTTGTTTGTTTCTAGATGTCATCATTACTGAGGACATTTTTATACCATGCTATTAACGCTATTCTTCATTTTCAAAGCAAGCCTCATAGGAGTGGATACTAGTAGGAATGTAAAGGTATATCCAGTATACTTAAATCCATCCAGGTTGGGATATAAGTAAATGTTGATGTATCAGTGGTTATTTTTCACTTGCTTTTTGTTGTGGTTTTGTTTTGTTTTGTTTTGTTTTGTTTTTGTTTTTGTTTTTCCTAATTAGCATTGTATGAATAATGTAAATATATATGATAATTTGGGTTTCTGCTGTAATGTCCATTGAAGTCAATAGAAAGACTTCTATGTCTTCAGTGGTTTTCTGAAATCCAGTCAGGCCCAAATTGTGTAATATGGGGAATGTTCTTTTTGTAGAAGAAAACAAAGAAAAGTTGGAGATACAGTAAGAGGTGGTGAAAATCCAAACAAACCTCACTACGGAAGTTTCTGTAGGAGAACTAAAATAATCACTTTGGCTGCTTTAAAATAACTAAAGCTTACAATATTATGTAACTTTGGTATGAAAAAAAATATATCATTATAAGAACCATGCTGGAAAACTTGTGTTGCTGGCCTTAAGGGCGTAAAATTTCTGTTGAAATCCCACTTATATATACTACATTATTTGTACTGGAATAGGAGTTTTTTTCTGCATAATTTCATCTTTATTTAATTTTTAATGCTTTCTAATGGGACAAATATTTAGAAAGGTAAGAATGTCCTGAGGTTAATAATTTTGACCCCCTCCTTTCCCTCCAAACTCCAAACTTGTCTTTTATATAAATAGAAATGCCATGTGCAGAAAAGTAGCAAATATTTTTACTGTATTGATTATTACCTTATTGATCATATGCTGAGGACGAAAAGCTCAGGTGCATTTCTCTGTCTTTCTTTAGATAACATTACCAAACCTTTGACACTGAGCTCTCATCAGCAAGGGCTGTATTTGAGTAATTATGTACCTAGTTCAGGGGCCTAATTTGTTTTCTTTGTAAGCATTCAATCTATGTTCCCAATCCCCCCAAATGTCATGTTCAGTCAGGAGAAGTCAGGCTGCTTTGGTTCTTCTGTGGTGCCATTAGGAGGAATGACCAGTGGAATTTCCTTTTGTTTCCTGAATTTTGGTGGTGGGTCTGTCCTTTTTCATGAAATTGCCACTGAACATAGACTGCATGCGAGCAGATACAGACACTCTGATTCTACTTTCATTTTGCCCTGTTCCTCACCTTTAGCAGAGGGAAACTCCTTACAGTAAGATAAGTTACAGTGAGATAACAGCAGAACAAATAAAAAAAGGGAGAAAGGCTCCTTTGCTAGTCATCTAAAATCAAACAAAAGTTCTCAAAGCACTGAGATATACACCTACAGCTGATACCTCATCCCACAACTTTACATTAGTTGACCCACCCCCCTCAAAAGAAAAATGAAATAAATAGGCCCTGAATATTGCCCACTGTTTTGTAAAATGGAAATGTTTCTGTAAGGTGCCGAAGACTTGACCTCATCACTGATCACTGGAATGGATCCCTCAAGTCCTTTCCAGCATTTCCTTTTCTTTCCCCTTCAATTTCTGTCCATTCTGTCTGTCCAAGGCAAAAAGGGAAAAAAAACCCAAAAGACACATGTAGTTTTCATTGATATTTGCCCTTTTAACCAATTCCATTGTAATAATCACAAAATCACATATGTTGGGAATTCGGGCCGGTGCGCATGACCTGTTTGAGGTGCACCAGACCAAGCAGGACCCACAGGGGCAGATGATCCTCAGTGTCCAACCCGAGTAGAAATGTTTCCCTCACTCTTCCCTCCTGCTGCTTTCTTTCAAAATAAAAGAGCAATTTCCATGCTTGCAATTGAAAGCTAGATTTTCGGAAAGGCATTTCTTTGTTTTGTAGTGACAGCGATGAAAAGCCGCTGAAAGGCAGCCTCCAGTCAATTAACGGGGACATTAAAGCCACTGAAAGTGCTGATAGTCTGGTAGATTATGGAGAAGGGGAGCATGGGATGTTCAATGAAGATGGTTCGTTTATTGGAGCTTATTCTGGATCTAAGGAAAAAGGATCAGTGGAAAGCACTGGGAGTTCTACGGCAACTTTTCCTCTCCACGCCTAAAATATAAGCAAGAATGATTTGTGTTTAATTGTGATATTTATCTTGATTAGTACTCCACAGTTACCACATGTGATTGGAAGCAGGTTGCCAATTGAGCCAGTCAGGAACCTGACATCCAGGTAATATAAAAATAAGTCACTGCCACTAAAAGATGTTTTTTCCATCCTAATTTCTAGGTGTTTTCTTCTAATTAAAACAAAACAAATAATTCTTTAATCTACAAAATGACTTACTCAGTCTTACCAAAACAGAATTACTTAGTGTTACATCTGTATACTTAACTGCTACTCCATGTGTTTCTTAGGTTTGGAATATGTTTCTCTGTATAGTATTTTTTTTTACTGTATGGCTGTTGTCACTTTGTACATAAATTTATATGTATTATTCCCTCATGTACCGTGGCCTTGGCATTGTAGAGGTTATAACACAACAAGAAAATCAAACAAAACCAACAGATTACTCTACAAAGTGACACAATGCATCCTACTGAGAAAAATGATAATTTAAAATACTGGAGAAATATATTCTATATATTGTATAATTTTTCATAAAGAAATAAACTCCTTTGCTTATGATACTCTAAAATGATTTTAGTGGTTACAGCTGACTGCAATTACCAATACTTAGAGATGCAACTTCATCCACAGAAAATTTGCTCTTAGAAGACAAAGCTCTGGCCTTGTGGATGAATCTTCTGTCCAGTAGCTGGCACTATTTCCTTAAATAAGTTAAGCTGCAGTATCTTTCCTGTGGCAAGGCAAAACAGGGTTCCCATCCACCATCATTAGAAAGTATTTTAATTTGTTTTCCAGAGTCTCTGCAAGCTGCATTTCTAAGCAAAATGCTTGTTGTCTGTCTCCTATCTGTATATTTGTGCGCTAGCATACATTTCATGAAGAAGTTGTACATATGATATTAATATTGACACAAGTAAAAATCAGCCTTGTTTTATTTTGAAATGAGACATGTTGCTAGCATGGATCTATATAGACGTGTAGGAATGAATAGAATTGCTTCTCAGTATGAGTTTGGACCAGCAAAACTAGTTTTCAGAAGGAGTTGTGTGTATACCAGTCATATAAATCTCATATCTTTCTAGTATCACATAAAATAGACCTACCTGACTTTCAAGAGATCATTATTTTCAAGCTATTCATTGTTAAATAAACAAAAGCAAAAGCAAAGAGAAAAATATTACAGTATAGTTTCTTTTATATTTTGTTTACTGAATGCTGGTTTAAACATGGTTCTTTTCTTTGCCTCCCCACCACTAACTCAGCAAAGCTGTACAGCACATTTTTTTGGTCTTTTTGTATTGGAATCTCCTGAATTTCTTTAAAAGCACTTGTATTTTTGAATATGCTTATTTGAGTAGAGTATCAATATGGCTTCGTTTCTTCTTGCACTTACAAATTACTGTCACTTCAATTATCTTTTAAATAGTTACTGCAGGAGGAATAGATCCTAAAAGCCAATTTGCATCGTGATAGTAATTAGGCAAATATCCCCAACGGCTCCTTCATGGTCTCCATTACTTCAATGGAAGAAAGAGAGGAAGCAAGAATTACTCACATGGTTACGAGTTTCCAGTAACGGCTACAATTAAGACCCGTTAGTTGCCCACAGAAATGCAGGTTGTTACCAGTAGAAAGGCCATGGTTCGTACACAGCCCACCTTATGCTTGGGCTCCTCCCCAGCCCTCATAGATTTCTGAAAGCAGTAAGTGGCCTTTGGTGCTTGATGCTTCTGCTTCTCTGTTCCTCTTTTTTTCTTTTTTCTTTTTTTTTTTTTTTTTTTTTTTAAGTTTAGCTTGTAAGGACCTTTCATATAGCCTCTACTTGGGAAAAGCAAACCCCAAACAGGCAGCCCCCCAAGCCCCCAGTGATGTCATGAGTATGAATATAAAAGGATGAGTGGAAATCTGCCCTGAGTCAAAAATCACCCCCATCCATGTAAGTGACCCTAGTCACTCGCTTTTTCTTATTTATAAAGTTTTATTTTCCGTATTTCTCTCAATCCAAATGCTGAAAAAGTCCAAAGTAATTTTAATTTTTGAAAAAAAAAAAAAAAAATCTTCATTTTAAAAAGAAGGGAGTACACAGTTGGAGAAATGTGAAAATTGGCACCTTGTCAACAGAGACATTTCCCACCAGGGTCTTTATCTGGTGACTCTTGTCTGCTGCAGCCCAAGCCGGATCAAGTCTAAGAACTGACCAGGCTTATGACAACCTTCGTTGCAAGCTCCAGGCTGTTTTTAACGTATTTCCTTTAGGAGTCGTCCGCACTAGCGTATGAGCGAGGCTCTTTGCAATAGGAACAGAATTGGGGTGGAGTCCCCCAAAGCCTCACTAACCTCCCTGTGCAGGGGGGCTGGGGAGGGGCTGCGCCCGAGCCCGGCAGAGCCCCCCAGCCCCAAACCAGGGGGCAGGGGCTGAGCCCGGGTGCGACCCATCCGCCGTCCCAGCCATCCATTTGCTCGTACTTTGAGTCGCTGCAGATCAGCTACACTCCTTGTCCCAGAAAATGCCTATGTTAAACAGACGCAAATTTCAAATCGTATTAGCGAGTGTCAAATTATCGAATAATGAATATAAATCCCCTGTGCTATCACTTGCTCTGTTGCTGCTAAGAGATGTTTATGACATTCCTGTGATGTGCTACTCATCTGTGCCGGTATGAGTGCTTTTTCTATTAAAATTTTAATTCAGATTCTTAAATCTTAATGTTGGTGTTTCATGATGCCTCAGGGCCTAAAAATCATACAGTGACAAAAAGATGTACAATGGAATTTGTACAGTGCACACTGACTTTTGAGGAATATGCCCAATGAATATTAAACAAATGGCTAAAACTCAAGGGAATCTTACTCTTCTGAGCTTTTTCCTCTCTCCCAATCATTTTTCCATTTTTTTTTTTTTTCCCCCACTAGGGTTTTATTTTTTATTGTAAGAGTACCACTCATACAGTGTACCTTGGAAAGTACAGTGCACTAATGGTTTTTTAGAGATTTGCTTTCAAAAGTAAACCAAGAGCAAGGTTAGATTTTCCTGAGCAGTTTTTTGTCATTGCCAGGAGATGGGCTGCAATTTTTTCTAGGGCAGGTGAGAGGAAGTGTGGCCATGTAGGCGGAATAAAAAGTATCACCAACTGTACTGCAGTTCTGAAATAATACATTAAATCCAATAAGTTTTTATTAATATTATTTCTTTGTACTCTGGTCAGGAGTGCTTATTAAAATTGCTTGATGGAAATCTGTGGTGATTTAATGAATTAATACCTAGTAGGGAAGTTCAGACTGGCTGCTGGGTGGGGGGAGCCGTGTGAGCACGCAGACCGTGCTGGGTAGGGAATTATTAATTACCCACTACCATGGCTGTTAGCTTGGCTACGTTTTGTTAAGATACACCATTACATTTTTCTGGCACTACAGGTGTGAGAGGGGAACTGACACTTTCAGATTTGGTATCTTGGTCAATGCGGGATGCGATTTCATCCAGCAAGAAGGAGGCATTTCCCTGGCCCCAGGGATCCTGGCTTGCAGATTTAAGCAGCCTCCTCTGCAACAAGAGAGGGATGGCTGTTTCTCAAAAAGTTGTGCTGTTTTTGCAGTGCATAAGATTAAGCAAATAAAATCAGCTCTTCCTAACTAACAGGAAAAAACCCCTGTGTGCTAGCTCACATGCAAGTGAGCCGTTTGCGTTCACAGAGCAGTGTACTGTTGATTTGATATGGATTGTAATCTCAAACCTAAGTTTTTATTAAAAAAAAAAAAAAAGTAATCACACAATCAAGAACTTCTAGCAGTGGTGGTCCCAGTTTTATTCTCTGGCAAAATCTGGGGACCCAGTCTCAAGAAATCTTTGCTTGCTCTTCAGCTGGGGCTGGATCTTTAGGAAGAGCAGAATTAGGAACCAAATCAGAAAATGACTTTCCCCTCTGGATAAAAAATGTGCGTGTATGTATAATGAATTAAAAAACCTTCTTTGTAACTCAAGTATTAAATGGATCTAATTAGCATATTATTTAATGATTTATGATATTTGTTCTGTTGTGTTCTTTTTATACAAATTTTAATGAGTAGCTCTTTTTCTGATAACTACTTCCATTGACTGAATGGGTCAGATCCAATGCATGAGATGTTTTAATGAAAGTTTTCAGGCCGATACTATTTTTTGAGATGACAACAAATACTAGCACAGACTTTCTATATAAAAAGGTAGGGATTTTTAACAGTAATTCCACATGCAGTTTTGTAAACTAAAGCTAGAATAACAGTCACTGATCCTTACACGCTTCTGAAAGGAAATGTCATTATAATATTTCTAGTCATTATTTTGCAGATGAGTGGTATATCTAGATTATTTTATGTACCTGTAAGAATGGATACAAAGAAAGGAAATTCTTCATGGCAAGAGAATTTCCTTTGTTTGACAATGGATCAAGCCCTCAGCTGCATCTTTGTTAATGTTTAGTATTTCAAAATAAGGCATATAAACTGTGTTGGATTACCAGTACATGTTTACATTGCAGCTCCGTATCTTTCCTGTAAAAATCTCAAGTGTTCTGCACTGATTTGTTCAGTTTTCAGGCAGGAATCAGCAGGTGGGTTTGAGCCAAAGCATACTGTCTGTTTCATTTTTTATTATTATTATTACTTTAAACAAGATACTTTGTAATTTCATGAGAAAAGATCAAAGCAAATGTGGTGTCACCATTACAATGTTACTTTTTGAGCTAAATGTTAGTGTGCATTTATTAAAGTTTAGAGAAATGTGTTGTACCGTAGTTGCTGTTTGTATCATGCACATGTGCACGTATGGTTTTAAAAGATATTTTCATTTTACATGAAATACAACTTTGCTAATAAAAGTTTGACTTGATGTAATCTTCAGAAGGCTTAGCTGTAATCAGCAAGTTTCTCTTTCATTGTGGTTTGCTTTTTTTTTTCCTCCTGATACCCTTTCTTTGCTGGGAAACCATTGTAATTGTCATTCCTAGCCTTCTCAAGATAGTGGTCTGGGTTTTCTTGGCCCTGCACCAAGGTCGAGCTGCCCTTGGCTTTCGCTGGACTGTTGGGCACCACGGACAAACAACCTTCTAGATATGATCTACACCAAAGCAGGGATGAACCTGAACTGCAAACACCCTGAATTCAAATACCTCATTTATTTCACAGGGTGATTATCTCCTGGATCAAACTATTGCCCTATATAATGTCAGCATCTATAACATGCTTCATATGCTCTGTGTCGGTTAATGTCACATAACCTTCCAAGCACAGAGCTTTAAGCTAAGCAGCTTGTGAAATACCTGCAAAAATAACATCATCCTGTATTAAAATACACTTAGCCATGAAATGGAAGACAAAAGCTCAACATACCAGGCATGAACACACGTGAAAGGAAATGATCCTGTTATACATGGCAGAATATAGCTATGAAGATTAGCAGGGTGAATTCCCACTCCTCTTCATTAAAGATCTCCAGAATAATGGTGATTTTATACATATCCAGGCACCTAGAAACCCAGTAATACTCGTTCTTTTCTTCTTGTCCCTTAGTTAGGGAAAACTCCGCTTATACTAAAAGTCTGAAATCTGTATGCATTTATTAGATAGAAATATAACAAATGTTCTTTGTTTGCCAAGGAGAATAAGAAAAGAGCAAAATACCTTAGTTCTTTCATTATCGAGTATTAAAATGGTAATCCTGTCCTTCCCTCCTCCCCCTCTAATATTCAGTGTTCTATGATTTCTCTGCATGTCTGTGGAGAAAAGTTAACCGGGGAGGACCTGGGCAATGCACACAGGTACATCCATCTGGTACCCGAAACAGCAAAACTGCCACCACTGAGGACTCATTAAAAGTCAGCAGACAAATCCATGGCAGCTGATATTGCTGCAAAAAACATAAAAAAAAAAAAAAAAATTTAACAGAAATTTCAAAGGTCTAGTCAGTGCTCAAGTGCGAGACAAATTGCTCACACAGATGATAATCCCTGGCTTCCAAACCTGACATGGTTTCTGTGCTATTGTAGGAGTATTTCACTCAGTGGAAGAAATGATCCTGTACTTTTTTTTTTTTTTTTCCCCCTATGTTTTTTAGCTACTTCACTTTAGCAGAAAGGTTTCAGGTCTTTTTTAATGCATTCTTCACCTGCAAAAACTCATTAATACATTCAGTGCAAATGCAGAAACGGGTAGGACTGTGCTAACTAACATTTACCTTTCAGGAAGGCATCAAGGGCATCCCAAGTTTTTTTTATTATTCTTCACATTCTGGAATAATGAGATTTACACTTTTCTCAATAACATAATGGAGAGGAAAAAGTCTTACAATCATGTGCTTCACTGGAGTGAGAATAAAGATGCTGCTACCACCGTCAGGTGCCTGGGCTGCAGATCCCAGCTCACCACATGCTACAACCTCTGCTGACACCCAGCCGACAAATCCCTGAGCAACAGTTTAAGGAGAAAGTATGGGACCAATATACCTTTATTTGATATTTTGCTTTTAATACCAGGTTGGCATTATTTGCACTATTTTAGGGGCAGACTATTATTTCTAATGTTCAAACATTTTGTTCTGTTCTTCAGTATTACAGTGAAATGTCATTGCTTTTGGACTTTTACCATCTGTTAATAAGCTTGAAATGCAGAGAAGTCAGTCAGTCACCCAGTGGGAAATACCATCAATCTCACTCCTTGAAAATGTGTAGGCTCTGCAGATTTATAAGCCTTATTTAACAAGACCTGTGTGTTGTTTTTCCTGTGCTCGAGGCCCCAGTGCCTTCACTGAGGCCACATCCCCATTTGATGTGGCTAAACCTGCACAGAAGAGCTGTCCCACCCCATCACTGCTTGGAGACATTGGTATTTCTGTGAAAAACCCACCCTGCCCGGCCCTACAGTGCCCAGCTGGCAATACCTGCTGTGCTTCTTCCTTTTGCAGAGCATCTCTGTAGGTGCAGGTCTCTTTGCACTTAAAAACAAAATTGCCTGTAGAGTTTGTACTCCTATGCTGCATATCCAGCCCAGCCTGGGGGATTCAGCACGGCCCTCTTCATTTGCTTGAGGCATCAGGGCAGGAACATTTCAAAACAGAATACATGCAGCGGTACGTTTTGGTTTTTGATTTATATATATATTTTTTTGTTTGTTTTTGATTTATATATATATATTTTTTTGGTTTTTGATTTATATATATATATTTTTTTTTTTTTTCTCTTTGAAAACATGGTCATGTTTTGGAGTTCCACGGCTTTGTGTTGCTGTGCTTTTTCAGCGTGTTTGCACTACTCCCACTGACTGAAACCTCTATAAACTGGTGGCTTTGACAGCTGCTCTTCACCTGGGATAGAGATGAGAAGCAGGCGGTGTGAGGAGGAGTTGGAGGGTGTGAAGTAACAGGCAACTGTGGCTGGTGCAGGGTTACTGGGGAACCTCTGCTCAGCATCTGCTGGGGGTTGTGGGCTGTAACCCCCAGATTAAGAACTGGCACCTTTTATTTCTTCTCATGAAGGAAATGACATACAGGTAGTACTTGTTTACTAATTATCCTGGTAACAAATCAGTAGCCTTCCCTCCCCATCTGGGCTGCTGTTCCCTTGGTGGCTGTAAAGTATTTTCTGCCAACTCTTGATGGATGGGAAAGCACGGCAGTGGTGTGGGAGCAGGACTGGGAGGGGAGGCCACATCTCCCACGTGTTTCCTGGAGCTGGATGAAGCCCCACAGCCGTGGGGAGGTGACCCCCACACCCAGGTGAGAGCACACCAGCGGTGGAAAAAGGGGTTTATTACTGATTCTACCTGAAAGAGCAATATGGGAAATTCAGGAGACATCGTTGTGGAGATTTACGGGGCTGTGGTCCCGACCACAGGGCTTCTGTGCATTAGGACTGGCTTACAGTGGGTGCTGGGAGGTTTTTCCCCCATCTCTCCTGGCTGGTCTGCGTTTCTTCTGAAATAGTTTTGTTGTTATCCCTGAGGCAGCAGGCCTTCTCCTACATAGTCTTTTTATTTATTTATTTATTTTTCTTCTTTCTGACTCTCCATCAGCATCTGCCTATATTAATCTCTCAACACCCCGGTCCGTAGGCTTGGAAAACTTCCAGCCCATCTGCATCAGTGCTATACTGGTGCTTCTTCCTCACTGTGCATTTTTGTCACCTCCTGTAACCTCCCTCGTCTCTTCAGGGTGGAAGATGTGCTCTGCTTACAGATGCACCTGGGATTTTGAAACTGCTGTGGGTCTAGATGTCTGAACTGAACAGTTACAGACTGTTTTTGATGTGTGGGTTTGGTATTTTTTTAAAGTTTGAAAGTTTTTTGTGCCTTTTTTGTGTTTTTTTGGTTGGTTGGTTGGTTGTTTTTTTTTTTTTTAAAAAAAAAAAAAAAAAAAAAAAAAAGAAAAAGTGAGAGATTAATCTGCAGGTTTCAAGACTCGGTGTAATAAATGCTCATTTCTGGGAGATGAGAGACTCAAAGGGGAGCATGACCTGTGCCACCTCCCCCAGCTCCATGGCTCAGGGTGCGTGAGCCCGGGCGGTTCTTGGTTCTTGTTGGAAAGCAGAGGGCTGATGCTGAGTATTTAGCTGAAGACACAGCAGTTTGTCCAAAACAGTTCCTGTTTGCTCCTCAGGGTGATGTAAACCAGATCTGTGCAGGTGTTGAGGCCCTCACCAGTGTGTTACTGGTGAGGAGACCTTCCCAAGCTGGGTCCTGGTGCAGGATTCAACCCAGGAACGTCTCTCGTTGCTCCCTCCTGCGTGGTTCTGCCACGCTGAGTGGCTGCAGGTGGCTGGGCACATGGTGATTGAGATGGCTTATATTTTTAAGTGAGTTATTTGAATGGATATTTATTAAATAATTAAAAGCACAAATGCAGTTTCTAATAAAAATAAGCTTACCATGTAAGAGGGATGTTATCCTTTATGACTTCAGGCAATCATTGTTCTGAGCATTTATTTTCCTCTAAGTGGCAATTTATCCAAAACACGCATACAAAAAAAAATACTGGGCTATTTAGACTGACAGTGGAATAGCAACTTCCAGTAGATCAGGAGTTCTGGTTAATTATTTATAATTTCAAAAACAGTACACTTTTCCAGACTCAGCATGGAACTGAGAAGCGACTAAGTAAATAAATTCATGTAAAGTGCAGTGAAATCAGATCATTTGACACACTAATTTGCCTAATGTAGAAAAACTTTAAAAAAGGAGTTCTTGAGGAAAAATAATTGTTGCAAAGAGTAATGTCAGCAAAGGGATCTGAAAGTGGCAATGACAAGCAGAAGGGGAATAGCTCTTGAGCCCAGGTCTTGAGGAGTATTGAGAGATAGAGCAGGGAAGCACTATGGCAGCTATTAAAGCAATCTGTTTTCATTGTTTCTTCATCAGGAGTAACTTCAGTGACTTTTGTCACAAGTTTTTTGGGGAGGAAATTATTTGCTGAAAAATGTTTGCTCTGCTTAGTTTCCCATAATCATCAGTTGTTAAGGATTTTCATTTTTTCTTGAGATACTTCTTGAAAAATTTTTACTAAGGAAAAAAAAAAAAAAAAACAAAAACAACTGTTTACTAGTTTTTGGATTACATCTTCCAACAGCTCCAAGTATGCAGATTATCTAATTCTTAGGGGTGTCATGGTTGCTGTCACAATGCCTCTTAACTACCATATATATTTTATATATTTTTCTTGCTTTTTCTGCATGCGGTTGGTGCTGAGCTCTGCTAGGCTCAGCAGTGCTGCAGCTCTCCTGTTCAAGTATTTGTTCTCCCAGGGCAGCAGGGTCTCTGTGCTTTACCTGAGTCTGACTTTTCTGAACCTCCCAGCTCCTGGAGTCACAGGACTGCGGAGCTGCGAATAACAGGGAAAACTTAACTGTTCTGTT